TGGTGTATTTGTTAGCATATAGAAAGCTAGTGATTTATAAGGTTATGCTTTACAGAGTGAAGTTTATACAAGTCAAGAATAGATACTACAAATATTAATAGGTCTTTATATCAATATTACAGCTAAATTTTCCTCTTCAGAATATGTTTATATATGAAACTGTGAAGATATAACCATTTTCTTACATCAAACCTGTACTACACACGAAAGTAATTAAGATTAAGAGCTATCTGAGGGTTTTTTTTTAATACTGTCTTGTTCTTTAAAGAACAGTTGGAAGTCTACAAATTCAAATCTTGTTAAATAATAGCAATTTGTGGTAACCTTGCAAAGAAATCAATATTTGAATCTGTTTTGTATTTTTGAGTTTTCAGTGAATCTCTGTCTTAGGTAATAACTAATATTACCTTATGTAATATTATTTTATTCATTTATCTGATATTTAAAGACAAGACGAAATAAGAAAGTAGAGAAAAGAAGGGAGGGGATGAATATTTTTTTCTTTCTTTCATTTGTGATTACTTACTTTTTTCTTCAAATGTTCAAAAACATGTTTTGCTATATTATTTTAATCATTTTTCTTTATTTTACTCTTTAGTTTTCCTCACTTCATATTTTTGTGTTGGTAACTGGTGCGGAAATATTTGTCCACCCAAAATGTTATGTAAAATGTGCTTCTGTTTAGAATGCTAATTGGTCAATATATGTAGCACATGAATTGATGGTTGGGTAACTCTAGATGTCTTCTCGAAGCTTTTATTCATTCAGCAAATGTTTATTTAGTCCTTAGGTGCTGGGCTCCAAAAATGGCGCTAAAATTATAAGAATAAGAGACAGACATATTGTAGTTCAAATAGGCACAACGATGTATAGATACATAACAACGAGTCCCACTATTATGTGTACTTATAGAAAATTTTTTAAAAAATATAAGCACAGGGATGCTGTTAAAAAAAAAAAAGAAAGAAAAAAGCACAAGACAAGTCGAGATGTCCATGAAAATGATCACTCATTATGCAGCCTTCCCTTCCTACCAACCTGTCTGACCAGGCAGCTCTGAGCCCCTTCCTCTGCCAAAGTCTCCATACTTCCCACTGGTCTGTGCAGGTCCCTTTGGTCCTCATTTTGTCTCTTTCTGTAGAATCCCTTGACATCCACTCCATTCTCTGGACTCCACTGGCCTGCTCACTGCTCTCTGAGCACTGCCTGAACTTTTCTGCCCCCCTAATTTTACTCAGCTCATCACTCAGCAGGACATATTCCATGATTCCCTCTCTCTGTCAAAATTCCATCCATTAAGGCCTGCCTTAGTGTACTTTTGCTGTCCTTGTTTACTTTCCTTCATCATAGCTACTCCTATGGAAATTGTGTATTTACTTAGTGTACCTCTCCCTTCTTGGATATAACAAACAATCAAGCAAATGAACTTACTACAGAGTCTGGAATTGCTTTGCATTCCACTTGGAATAAAGGGTGCATAGTATGCAAATATCGAATACTTTCATTTTATGCACAAAGATTATTTTACAAACATTTAATTTCTGTGATATGCCAAACTCAGTTTGGCAGTAGCGTGCAGATGAAGTAGACAAGTTCATGGACAAAATACAGACTGTTGAATGCTTCAATAGACTAATTAGCACAGGAAATTTATAGGAATGATACTAATCCAGGTGCATCCATGAGTGGATAAGGAAATGGATGAATATGTAAATGAATAATTTATCGTAGTTCTCTAGAGCTCCCATTTAGTACTCTGCAGTTCTCAGTAGACATATATCACCCTGATCATCTGCTGACACTCATCATTGTCCTAATTCTTTCTTCACAACATTCCCTAATAAAAAAATGTACTTAGGCACAGTTTAATTCTAACAAAATTTCTACACTGGCTATCTCAGATACATAATCCTAAGTCTTAACTACTACATGCACTAAAGTCTCCAATTGTTCCATTAAAAATATTAATTTGAGAATTTGTAGAATAATTCTTAAAAATAAGATTAGTCTACTACTTCAATATTTTAAGACATATAAAGTGTATATAATGCTTCTGTTACCTATGTTTTATTTCTTTGTGAAATTTTGGCACTCTATTAGCTAACTTCCATTGGTTTTCTATTCCTAGTGATTTTTTAAACATTTTTAAAAATGTGCTTTTTTAGAGTCTTTTGTATGAAGAATCTCTTAGGTTTTTATTTTTTCAAGACTTCTGTTTATCGGTCTTTCCACCAAAAATAAATAAATAAATAAAACTCTTTAATCCAGCTTTTTTCATTTTGCCTTTCAAGCTCAAAACTTAAGGAAGCACATTAAACCTACACTGTCTCAAGAATAGTGATCTAGAATTTTCTTGCACTTAAAACACTATTAAGTTACTCACAGCCATTGTGCTATAAGGTGTCAGACAACATGGAGTGCAGACTTGATCTTCCTTGATATCCATCATCAAAAGAACGGTAGAAACTATTCAACATACTTGTCACACAACAGTCAAATGAAACCTACATTTGACTTTTAATATGTTTCCTTAATTGGCCACGTGGGGTTGTTTTTCTTTTTACTATTTCATATTTAATCTCTGTGAAAAAGATCACCATTTCCTGTTTGTTTGATTCAACAAGTGTTTATTGAACAGCTACCTTGAATCAGTCTTTTTGTCAAAGGCACAGGTATGTGGAAAAAAATAAATAATCATAATTAGCATATTGGGAGAAGGAAAATAAAGTAAGCAGAGACTATGAAGGATGACCAAGATCAGAATGTATTTGCAGAAAGATTTTCTGGTGAGAAACACTAGAGCAGAGACCCAGCTGAAGCTGGAAAATGAGCCATCTAAGCCTTGCAGACCTTTGGAAGAGCATTTCAAGAAGCAGTGGCAGTGGGTGCCAAGCATTTGCATGCTCAAGGGACAGACTGGAGGCCACTGTAGCTATAGCAGGGAGATCTATGCAAAGTGATGGGAAATGAGAAACGTGAGGACCTGAGTGGTGGTGTGCAGGATCTCTTGCCCATGGTAATGAGGTTCTATTTTATTTAGAGTGAGATGGAACCATGACTTGTAATTTGGCATATTTTAAAAGATTATTTTAGTTACTTGAGTTGTATTGGTTTTCTTTTACTGCAAAACAAATCGCTATGTATATACTGATTTAAAACAACACATACTTATTACCTCAGGTTCTGTGGGTTGGGGTTTGGAGAAGAGGGACTGCTAAGCTGGGTTCTCTGCTCATTGTCTTAGAAACATGAGTTCAAGGTGTCTCATTTAAAGCTTGGGACCCTCGTCGAAGTTCATTCAGGTTGCTGGCAGAGTTCACTTGATAGACTTGTAGGACTGAGGTTCTGCTTTTTTGTTTGTTAGTCCTGTTTGTGAGCATGGGGGCACTCTCAGCTCTTAGAATTGGTTTGGTCCCTAGACACATCACCTCTCATAACCTCCTAACTCACATCGCCAGCAGGAGAACCTGTCATGCTTCCCCTCTCTCCACATGCTAAAGAATTTTCTATAACGTAACATAGTCACAGCATCAAGGTCCTCTTCACCTTTGCCAAAGAATGTGATCTGTTCAAAGGAATGACTCCCCATCGTATTCCCAGGTCCTGCCCACACCAAAGTGGAGGTTTTTGTACAGGGTGTGAAGACCAGAGAGTGGGGTTTTGGAATCTTATGATTCTACTTACTACTGGATTTTGGAAGGGGCAAAAGATGAAGCTATAGGTAGGCCTTTTGAAAGCACTGGAGATGTCTAAGTCTGTGCTTCTCAAAATTTCCTGTGTGTAGATCTCCTGGGGATTGTGTTAAAATATCCCATTAAGGGTATTGGGGGTATAATTGAAGGCAGACCATAAAGGCTTTACTGAAGGAGAAACAGGGGCATCTGGATGACTTCTAAGCTCAGAGGATGGAAAAGACTGCATGCAGGAGAAGCTTGTTTTAGAGCAGAAACCCAGAGTTCCAGTTTGGATATGCTAACTGTGAGATGCCATTTAGAATCCAAGTGGAAAATATCAGGAAATGCAATTAAAAAGAATAGATCTATTCATCACACTCAGTTTCATCAGAAATATAAAACTTCATGTTTCTGTGTATCACTACTATTTGACACTTCCAAAGTGTGCTTGGAATTTATTATACTATAATAGAAAATGTGAGCAATGAAAAGGACCTTATTGAGCAGTGTTTTCTTGTCCCCATGTCAAAGTTCTTTATAAGCAAAATCAAAATATCCATTATTCAAATCATTAAAACTATTCCTAGAAGCCAAAATACACATCATTGTGCATATTTAAAGTAACACTATACTCAAAACACTCTCTAGAAATAGAGCCAGGTTGTAAGTTTTTACCACTTACTAACTTTTGGTAAATACCCTACTATAAGATGCATCATCTGGTTTCTCCCTGACCATATAGGCAATTTCATGGTGTGACTAATTCTTATTTCTTTCCTGGGCTAAGTTATGCAAATTAGCTTCATTAAGTTATGAGAGGTGGCCCTTAGGTGGAGCTTGCATTGAAATTAGTCTTCTGATTCCCTTATCACAAAAAAAAAGACATGGGTTGTATAAAAGATGTGTTTATTTATAAATTTCCCTAAATCTCAATCATGGAAAAAAGACAGTGGGTCCATTGGGAGCCACTCCCACGGAGATGGCTAGGGATCTGAACTTTACTCTGGAGCTCTGGGCTGGTACTTACTACCTTATGTGACCACTAGACTTTCTAGTTATCTGAAAGAATGTGTCGCTGAATCAAGCCATTGTCAAACCACAAACTTGACATGGTTGTTCTATAGGCTATGGGATTTAACATTTAAAAAAAGGGCATTAAAACCCAGAATCTAAATCCAGGTATAATTGTTTTGTGAATTACTTCTGTGATATCCCAATTTTTCCTATATTGTACCTACATTTTTATATTAAATATTTTATAATATAAAATTTAGTTTTTACATGGTGATTGAAGAAACTAACTTTCTTATTCTTTTCTTTCCCTAGGAGCACTGAATCAAAAAAATTGGGGGAAAAAATATCCAACATGTAATAGTCCAAAACAGTCTCCCATCAATATTGATGAAGATCTTACACAAGTGAATGTGAATCTTAAGAAACTGAAGTTTCAGGGTTGGGATAAAGCATCCTTGGACAGCACATTTATTCATAATACTGGGAAAACAGGTACAGAGTGTGCATTTTGTTTCCCTTGAATATGTGTTTCAGACTAGAATATGTTTGGATTTCTTTCTTGTCATTTCCCTTGAATGATGTACTATGAATTGAATGGATATCATCAGTAGAGGATGCCAGATGGAAAAGAGAAAATTTAGAGATGTGGATGACATTTTAAAACTGTACAAAATAGTAAAATGAACAGTGTCATAGTGCCATGCTTTGCAATATCTTAACAGTGATCCTGCTACTTGGAGATGTGGAAAAGTTAATGTAATTATGTCTAATGTAATTTAATAACTCTGTCACTCTTCAGTCGCATAGTCAATCAAGATCTCCATACGTGGGCAGTATAACTTGATATTGCTGCTCAGCTCTATGCTGTATTTAATATTTGGATATGAAAAAGCAACTGACTATAATTGAAACTTAAGAAAAGAAATTATTAGCCCTTCTGTATACAAAGTTTAAACTTGTAAACCATCCTTAGACAGGACTTGTTAAGTGCCTATTTCTGAGACTATGTTTTCTTTAAAAAGCACATAAAGTACAACACCTTAAAAATTTGAAACAGTTTTCCAATCCAATTTACATGGACAAAATAATTTTCAGAATGTGACACTTTCCTTTTTTGATGATATATTTTAAATGAAACCATATAACAGGAAGTTATTTTTAAAAAAACTACACATTTGACATAAATTAGAAAAAATGTTTAAATTATAATGGAAGACCTGTTGGGAAGGTTTTATCATTAGCAAGTTTCTTCTTTGTTTTCCATATTTAAGTAGTACAATTATTTAAATGTAATAATTTAAAATCCCATGAGGGCAGGGACTTTTCTATATCAGTGCCTGATGCATCATAAGCACTCAATATTTGTTTAATGAATAACTAAGACAATTTTTACATGTTATATTATAAATTAAATAACAATAGTGTGTTATCCCAAATCTTGACATTTTTGATACCAGTTTTAAAGGGTGCTACAAGGCTAAGGCAGGTGATCTCTGCTTTATTTTTCTGAGGGCAGAGTGGTCAAGGACTTGACATACAGCCACACAGCTTGGGCTCACTACTTGGCCCTTCAAATGACAACATTGACAAGTTATTTCCATGTCTGCGACTCTCTCTCCTTATTGTGTGAGGATCAAATGATTGATATGCATAAAATGATGCAGTGCATGGTACTTCTAGGTGATAAATGTCAACTGTCATTGCTGTCATCACAGTTGTTGTACTTGTCTCCATCATCATTGTTACAATTCATAGAAGTTTGTATCTCCTAGCTGGCCAACAGTGACTTTTGCCTGGCAGAGTGAAGGTTGTTAAAATCTGAGACTTCAAAATCCTGCATTAGGTTCTCAAGAGAATTATTATTCTCCAGATGACTCTTAAAGTATAGTCAGATAACTTCTGCTGCAGGACTCACATACAGGGAAGTTGACCATTCTGATGGTCCACAGTCAGTTTCAAACATGATATGGCTCAAACCGCTTAGAAGGAAAGGGCTTTCCACCCTCCTTGGCACAGCCAAAGACCCAGGTTCTGGAGCCTGATGAAGCCTAAGCTGGAGCCTGGAAGGATAGAGATGGGACCCATGCAACAGCCTGAGCAAAAGTAGGGCAGGCTGACAGTGACAAGCAGGTGTCCCTCCAGGAGAGGGCTTTCCCTCTTTCAGCCCTGTTCCCTCTGCCTTTACTTTGTCCCTTCATTACCATCAAATACCTTAGGGAAGCAGAGCTTTGGGTGAATGCAGCCTCAGGACACCAAGTAGGGCAGTGAACTGCCATCCTCTGCGTTGGAGTCACACAGTACTTCTCTCTCCAGCTGTCTTTACCTCTTTAGAAGTAAGTACATGAAGTTTACTGTGCAGTACTACAGAGCTGAGCTTCCCAAACACTGAACAACTTTTAAAATCTATTGAGTTAATGATTTTCTTAATACATCTTAAATAGAAGGAAATTTAGTCGATATTCATTGTTTTGATTTTCAGAAACTTAGATGCAATTTCATTGATTTTTTGGTTGGTTTATTTTAGTGGAAATTAATCTCACGAATGACTACCGACTCAGTGGAGGACTTTCAGAAATGGTATTCAAAGCCAGCAAAATAACTTTTCACTGGGGAAAATGCAATACATCATCTGATGGATCAGAACATAGTTTAGAAGGACAAAAATTTCCACTGGAGGTAAGTCGCTAGTTCCACTGATTATAATATCATTTTCTAAATCATTTAGATTATATTTAGCATATAACTTGATTAATTTTTAATTTATAGTTATGTTTTGATCACCTGATGGATATCTGCCTTCCTCAGCAGACTAAGCTCAATGAGCATATGTTCCACCTTTGATTTTCCACTCCCATGTACCCAGAATGCCACCTAGTAGGTGATCAATAATACTGATGAGTAAATAATGTAGGAAGGAAAAAAGGGAGAGTTTTATCAATATATTGGAGAATTCTTTGATTTAAATCCTTTGATTAAAATGAGAAGAAAATCTTAAGCTTTAAAAGTAGTCTAATAAATTAATAACTAAATACCCAGTGAATACTTTAGAGAGTTTATTCTGGTTGATTTCTGGAAAGTAGTTCATTTTTTATCAAGAACTTTACATGGTTGATTCTCAGTATTCACTGTTTCAATTTGTAGCAGTTAAAAATATAGATATTTTCAAAAATTTATGTGAAAAGAATTATTTAAATAGTAAAAACCTGAAGGAAAAAGAATGGTTAAATGCATTATGATAAATGGTTAAATGCATATTATAGGTCTTGTAAAAAATCATGTTTTTGAATGATGTACAAAAAAGGTTTATCGTATTAATGCTTTTTAAAAAATATAAAGTAGCATATCTGATCTTCTGTTTCTAATTTTTTAAAACCTGAACAGGGACTGGGAATATTGTCTAAGTGAAAGAATTAGGTTTGAAAGTGGTTCCACCCCTTCTCACATGACATTAAACAAATTATTCAACTTAACCTAAGCTTCCATTTTTCTTCTGCGAAATTGACAGAGACCTGTCTTAAAAATTGCCATGGGGATTAAATGAAAAAATGAATTCATTCCTCTTAAAAAAATAATGGAGGGAAACCAAAAAAAGTTAAAAGTGATTTTTCCTAGGTGATGTCATTATAAATGCTCTTATTTTCTCCTTTAAAAGCCTCATTTTTTTCTAAATTGCCCATAATGAAACTATATTACTCTTATAATTCAAAAGTTACTATCAATAATAATAAAACTAGGGTGGATTCTCACTAAAGGGCTAAAAAAAACTTTTTAAAATGTGAATAAGCACATTCTCATTCATGGGTTAGATTTTGGAAAGCTTTATATATTAAATGTCCTTAAAGAAAAATATATTTATTAACTGTGACTTGTCAAAGAAATAAAAATGAACTCCTTAAATACATAACATCTTACTTTGGAGAGTTTAGCTTTCTCACAATATTGCCCATTTAAACAAAGATACAATAAAAAAAAATATTAACAAAAGCCCTGGTTAATCAAAATAAATACTACAGAATTTTTGTAATGAGCCCCATTTTTTTTTTAATTCAAAGGCCTCTCGACTTGGCCTCAGAAGTATGGTTTGTTTATTGGTGCATTATAGTTAAACACATGGATGGGATTGGCTGTTACATATTGGTACATGCACACAATATAATGATATAATTTAGCCAATATCACTTCTCAGCATTTCCCTCCTCCCTATTGTTTGTTTTTCAGAAAGTATTTTTTCATGTAACTGTAAGTAGGCATCCCAAGGAGCATCTGGACTTACTTTTTTTTTTTTTTCTCCCACATCCCACAATCAAATCTTCTCAATTCTCACCACAAATGATGTGGGAGGTCAGAAAAGTGTTTAAACCGCCGTTGTTTCTTATATGGACTTTTTAATGTTGCTGTCACTGGTCTCTTTCTCTCTCTCCAGTCCATCTCTTTCTGTCTATTCCTATCCCACCTGACCCCTCCTTGCTCCTGTTAACTGAAGTGCCTCAGTGTCAGCTGGGATGACCTCCCTGGCATGGCCCTGCCTACCTCTCCCATCTCATCTGTTCTTCTCTAGCTATTGATCCTCATCCTTTAGGAGTTAGCTTTGAAACACTTCTCTCAAAAGATGTTGGTGACATACCCACGGCCAGAGCCTTTGCCATCCTCTGCTTCACACACACTGTTTCTCCCATCAGAAAACCAACCACCCTTGAGTGTTCTACTTTTACCTAAATTATACCTCGGCATAGTTAAGTTACCTGAATTCCAAGCCCACATCCTGAGGAGCACCAAATTATAACTGGGCATAGAGACTGTTACAGACAGGTGTGTAGACTAAAGTAGAAATCAACAAGGATGGCTGCAGAGTATGAGAGGAGAATTAAAAATAGGAAACCTAAAATACTTTGTATTTTTGAGGTAGAAACAGAACCCTTAAGATTTTTACAATATGACATAATTTTACAATATGACAAAATTACTCGTTCTAAAGTGAAAAACAGTATGTTTTCAGGGAGAAACAGTCTCTTACTTCTCACACATGATGATTTATACATTCTTACACTTGACGGTTTATATATTTCTCAGTTCACAAAGGACAATTTATCAGAAAATTTTGTCATATGAAATCATAAAGTTTTATAATAAGTAGAAACTTGAAGTTTTCTAAATTTATTTTTTGAAATAATCGAATTATTAGCAGAAATCACAGTATGATAATATACAAAATGATATCTCCAAGTCATCAAGAAAGACTTTTGTAGTCAAGAAAAAATGAATCACATGTTTCAAAAAATTCCAGCAAAATAGTTAAAATAAACTTTGTTAATTTATTATATTTGATTATTGCTCTGAATTATTACTGTAATGCCCACTGATAAAATTTCAAAATGAAAATCGCTATTCTAGATATGTCTACCTTCATATTTCTTTTGTAAATGTGATTATGTCTACTCATAATTGATAAAATACTTTGAGAATATACAGAATATAGAATTATATCATTTACAGACTTTTCAAATAGAATTTATTGGTCAATTGTTTTATTAAGTCTCTCCCCTGACTTTTGTGAAAACCTTTAATATAACGAAACTATTATTACTTTTATAGATGCAAATCTACTGCTTTGATGCAGATCGATTTTCAAGTTTTGATGAAGCGGTTAAAGGAAAAGGGAGGTTAAGAGCTATCTCCGTTTTATTTGAGGTAATCATCATATATAGATTCAGAACAAACAATTCCTTTTTAAATCACATGAAATATTGACATGAAATATCAAGGTACACTTTATTACGACCTTACAGTGGTAATTGGTGGTCATCTTTTTAAATGATAATAAAGAATATAAGGGGACTCTTATTTTCGTTACTTGGGTGGGTTTCTTCCAACTGGAGCAGACTCTTCTTACAAGTACACAGATTTGCTTACTTGTTAATGTAAAGTGTCAAAATTAAATAGCAGTATCTGTGAATTGGGACATTTAAAATTTTACTTTCTAAATAGAAAATGTAAGCTACCTAGTTTTTGTTTGTTTTTTACCTTGATATGAAAAAAAAAAAACAGTGTTTGGAACACAGTTTTAGATACTTAATATGGAATTCAATAATCTTTACATTTTTATTGAACAGTTAGTCAATCATTTTATCCTGTTTTTAGAATGCCATTCTTCTTTAACAGGTTGGAATAGAAGAAAATTTGGATTATAAAGCCATCATTGAGGGAGCCGAGAGTGTTAGTCGTTTTGGTAAGCTACTTAGAGAAATATCTTTCTTCAAGATTCTACTTGGGTGTATGTGAATTTTTACAATATGACAAAATTACTTGTTCCAAAGGTGAAAAACAGTATGTTTTCAAGGAGAAACAGTCTCTATTTCTCACACTTGATGATTTATACATTCTCACTCTTGACAGTTTATACATTTCTCAATTCATAAAGGACAATTTATCAGAAAATTTTGTCATATAAAATCATAAAGTATTATTGCAAGTAGAAACTTGAAGTTTTCTAAATTTACGTTTTGAAATAATCTAATTACATTATGCATTTAAATGGATTTATCTAATCTGCCTCTGCACTTATACATCTCCAAAGACTCTAAGTTATAATATAAAACCAATTAATTTTACAAAAATTATATTTTAAAGTGAAAAAGGAATTGCAACTCAAGTTAAAATTTATTCCCTGTAGTTTTCTTGAGAAATCCTTTGATTCACCAGTGTGAGGAGATAAGATTTTTGCAAGAAGGCAAAGGCTCACATAGAACAAGATGGAATATACTTTGATCTTGTTCTGCCAAAATCTCATGGATCTTATCATTAGTCAAAGAAAATGCTTTTGACAACATTGGCAATAGACTACAAACTATTGTTATTGTTGTTCTATTTTTATTAAGTATCTATGCATTTGGTATTAATGCAGCCCTGAGTTATCAATAAAATGAGGATTATGCCTCGCTGGAAAGCTGCAAAATTTGAAATCAGAAACAAGGCTCATACAGATTCTTTTCTCAAATGCAGAAACCTGGCCAAAAATTGATTCATCTTTGTCCATTACATGTGCAGATCTGAACTGACCGAACTTTTCAGAAGTCAGGAATATGTGAACCCCTGTAGTGTGGTGGTTCCTTTTTTTTAAAGGTGTAATCAAATGCAAGATGAAGCTGACATCTCCCTCCATCTAACTAGATTGAAAATTCAATGCTGAATTCTATAAGCTACACTTAATTTCCTTCTCAGTGAGTCAGAGAGGGGATTCAATCCAAACTGAAAGAAGGCAGCTAGTTTGAATTCCAATACTTAAAAATACACAAAATATGAATTCTGAATGTTCCCATGCCTTGCTACCAGCCTGTGGGGATGATCAAAGTGACTTAATCCTGACTTGCATAACTGTGAGACCTTCACTTTCTTTCATAATCTTTTTTAGTTATTTCTGAGAGATTCTGGGAGGGTGTGCCTTAGAATAAATTTACTTCTGTTCTTTTGACTAAGGTTTCTGTTTTAGTATCTGCTGTCTGCAAGCCTTCAAAGGAAGCACTTCATGAGAGCCACAGTTGCCACATTACCTCCCTGAGAATATGTATGCTCTAAGAGTATTATTCTGCCTGTATCCTGGCTCTTAATTTGAAAGCAGAATTACTAGTATCTCAGACTGAGACACTAGTCAGGTCTTTGTCTTTCATCTCTCTGCCCAGCTACCTGTGCACCAACTTCCAAGCTCCTCTTTTCCCCCAAACCCAGATCTTCTGTGCCTATAAGTCCCACCCTCCACCACATATTTAATATTTCAATAGATTCATCAAAGTTCCTTAGGCTAAGCAGTTGGTAGGTGTTAGTAACAGGATTTATATCCTTATCTGTTAGCAAAATTTGTGCCACTATATTGAGAAGATTTATATTAGTTGTGTATTTCAAAACACATATGAAATACTTGCCAGTTGCATTTGAATGCTTATTAAGTATGATCTGTCCAAACTGAGTCCTTCTAAAGTTAAATATTTCTATTTTGATATTTCTGGAATTAAATCTAGTCCTGTTTTAAAAGTCTAGAATATCCACTAGGGCCCAATAAACTGAAGACGTCCCAATATTGGCTCTCAGCCATCACCATAGGAATGAAGAATTGAAGGCAGTTCTTGTTTTTAGAAGAGACTCTGGAAGCACTAGCTTCCTGTTCTTCTCCATACAGTGTGAGTTATCTAAAAAAAAAACAAAAGAAACTTTACAACCATCATTTAGATTACACAATATATCTTATTATTATGTAGGATAGTTGTTCACTTCCTACAGTCAGCCCTAAGAGACAAATTCCATTGATCTTTCCCTTTATCATCTGTCCCCTTTAAAGTTTTCCTTCTTTCCATTATACCTACTCTATGTTAGACATCAGTCTTCCCATGGAGTGGAGAGAGAAATAGTGATTTTATATGATACAAATATAATAATATATTAATATTCCCCAAGCCCAGATCTCAAAAATGAGAACTGTTAGTTGAACTCTTTCCAATTGCAAGACACATCCACTTAGCATCAATGACCATCAACTGGGAGATCTTGACAGAATGGCTTATGGTGCCTTCTTCACCACAAATGCAATCCAGGAATTTGTATATTGAAAAAAATCTTCATGGGCAGTTTTGATTTGGTTCTATCTTAAATAACATTGTCCTAATTAATAGGAGTTGATTTTAAGTCTTTGCTAACTCCTCTTCTTGGGTGCATGGCGTGTTCTTGTCTTGTCTTTATCTCTCTCTTTCTGTCCTTCTCCATATTTCTTCCTTCACTACCAACCTTCCCACAGAAGGATATGGTCAGTTGGGTGGTTAATCCTGAAATATACAGTTAGGCAAATGGTGATTGCATGAATGTATGACTGGGCCCAAATAGAGCAGCGTAGGCTCAGGTGTGATTCTCTCTTGTGTGCTTATTTAGATGAAGCTCATGATTTATTTTCCAAACCCCCCAAACATCACCATTGTCCAGTTTTCTCAGGTGATGATGCAGTAATTGAAAAGCACTTCTGTAATTGAAAAATCTTGTAATGGCTAGGACGGGAGCTTGGGACAAACATGTAAATACAACAAACTGTATGAAATTGTTAACACGTACATAAGGGAGGCTAGATGGTGGCTACTGGGGTACAGAGACTGGAAAAATGGCTTCTATGTTGGGAAGAGAGATAAGAAAATTAAAACTCTCTTTCTTATGATTATTTTTTTTCCACTTAACTTTTCCCCCTTTAATCTCTTTCCCAATTTTAAGAAAATTCTCCACTTCACATTCCTGCCAAGGTCTCACCTTTGCTCTCCTTTCTCTGGCCACTAGCAATTCTGGCATCAGTTCATTTCCTGCATCATTTAGCAGTGAGTCCATTTCTGCTTCTATTTAATTAGCATTTTCCACACTCACTTCCACAAGACATCTGTAAGATAAATTTTGTCTTCAGTATAGGAATGAACAAATGCAGTCCACTGACAATCAAGAAAAGAGATTGCTAACTCACAAAAATGTTAAGATACTAAAAAATATGAATCATAAACTGGAAAATCTTCACAGATTAAAAAAAAAGTAATAAAATAAATGTTCTCCTCAATTTCTGTGAACTTGGATCTGACTCTGAATTCTGATATTGGAAGAAAAAACGTATTTTAGACGTTAACTTATTAATCCATTAAACCAAACATAAGTGTGAACTTTCCAGTGGATGAAACTAGATTTAAGTCATATCTGTACGATGCTGTCAATTTGGTCAAGTTTTTTAAGATTCAGTCTTTAATTCAGACTGGAGTCAGTAATCTTTAACTTCAGTTGTTAATAGTACCCACAAAAAGGGTTATTTGAAAGGCAAAACCTTGCAAAGACTTCATTTTACTTGGGGTTTTCAGCACTGGCTGCATGTTTGCATCACCTAAAGAAGCTGTAAATGCTTAATTCCAGGCCCCACTGCTAAAGACTTACATTCAAGTGGTCTAGATTAAAGTCTGAGTCACTGGCACTGTTTCAAAGCTCCCCAGGTGACTGTGACAACTGCCCTACACCATACCGCCTCAATTAAACTAGATTAAATTCGCTTCAGGAATTATTTTCTAATGACCTAAATCTCTTAGGGCAGAGGACATGCACTGGGCTGGGTAGTTAGAAGGAGAAGAAAATGAGTGAGACAGATCTGGCTGGTAAGCAAATTGCTCCCACAGGCATGAGGGCCGGTACACAAATGTCTAGGTGGTCAACACAGGACTGTTGACAAGCACTGTTGGAGAGACACAAAAATAAAAATGGGACTATTTAATGAGACATATAAATTTAGATGGTTTCAAGTTCTAAGGCCAGGCAGCCTACTTAGGAAAGCTCTACCAATTTTTGCATAATAATTCTCTACTCTTGATACAAGTTAATATGTAATAATAAATAAATATGTGTGTATATATATATATATATATATATATATATAGAGAGAGAGAGAGAGAGAGAGAGAGAGAATAGTGTACATATATAAACGTGTATGTGTATATTGTATACAGAATATATTTTCTACTCTTTGACTTATCTTTTTACTCTGAGACTATTAATAGATAGTGAGTCCATTTCTGCCACTTTATTTAATTAGCATTTTCCACATTCACTTCCACAAGACATCTGTAAGATAAACTTTGTCTTCATAAAAATGAACAAATGCAATCCACTGACAATTAAGAAAAGAGAATGCTAACTCACAAAAATGTTAAGATACTAAAAATGTGAATCAGAAACTGGAAAATCTTCACAGATTAAAAATAATAAAATACATGTTCTCCTCAATTCCTGTGAACTTGAATCTGACTCTGAATTCTGATATTGGAAGAAAGGAAGTATTTTAGAAGTTAAGTTATTAACCATTCAACCAAACATAAATGTGAACCTTCCAGTGGATGAAAGAAGATTTAAGTCATATCTGTACAATGCTGTCAGTTTGATCAAGTTTTTTAAGATTCAGTCTTTAATTCAGACTGGAGATTGTAATCTGATTAACAGGTACTAAAATGTATCATTTTGTCCTTTTATGAGTGATAGTTTTGTATGCCATTTCGGAAATCTCAGTGTGCCGTAAGGTTATCTTTCCCTCTAGAGGTGTTTTTATTTCTGTTCACTTATAAATCTATTTGGAATTGATTTGTATTTATAATTTGAAATAGGAAATTGATTCACTTTTTTCCATAAGGATAATCAATCAACACAACACTGATAATTAGTCCATCCATTCCATACTACCTAAGGATTTTTCTATCACACAAGTGACTACGTATGTACAGGTCTGTGCTCTCCATTCTATTCCATTGTTCCTTTGCCTGTTTCTACACAAATATCTCACTATCATGATTTTCACTGATTTGTGTAATAGATTTTCCTACTTGATAAGAAAAGTTCTCTGGCACTTTTACTGTTCAAGGTTGTCTCATCTTTTCTTTGCATTTCTATTTTAATTTTAAAATCAGAATCTCATTTAACACAAACATGCACAGATGCACACCTTTCTGGGATTTTTATTTTTTAAGTTTTTTTTTCAATCCATACGTCAATTTGGGGAAAAGCAACACCTTCTGCAACACTGAAGCTTCAAACTGATGAACTTTTTAATGTATGTCCAACTTTTTAAGGTTTTATTTAATTCCCCCAATAATGTTTTCCAGTATAGATGTTTTACACCTCATTTATTGGGTTTTCTTGTAAGTATTTGATATTTTGTTGCCCTTTTAAATCATATTGTTGTACATTTTATTTTCTGCTACATAGCAATACAGTTGGTTTTTTATTAATTAATTTATTTTTTAAAGTATATATGACAGCAGAATGCATATTGATTCATTGTACACAATTGCAGCACAACTTTACATTTCTTTGATTGTACATGATATAGAGTTGCACCATATGTGCAGTCATACATGTGCCTAGGTTAATGTTGTCCACCTCATTCTGCCATCTTTCTTGCCCCTATGCAACCTCCCCTACCATCCCTGCATCCACTTACAAGAGAGAACATTTGGCCTTTGTTTTTCTGGTATTGGCTTACTTTGCTTAGCATAATATTCTCCAACTCTATCCATTTACCTGCAAATGCCATAATTTTATTCTCTTTCAATGCTGAGTCATATTCCATCATGTATATATACCACAATTCTTTATTCATTCATCTATTGAAGGGCATCTAGGTTGCTTCCACAGTTTAGCTATTGTGAATTGGATTGCTATGAACATTGATGTGGCTGTGTTACTATAGTATGCTGATTTTAAGTCCTTTGGATATAGACAGAGGACAGTAGTTGGTTTTTGTATATAGGTCTTAGGTACAGTGACTTTGCTAAATTCATTAATTCTGATGGCCTGTAAATTGTGTTCTCTATTTTACATGCACAATTATGTTACTTTCAGAGTGTCCTGACATCATTTATTCCTTTACAATCCTTGTAAGTTTTATCTCTTTTATAAGCAATCTCTTACATGATTGCTCAGTGTTAAATAAGAGTGGTATAGCAAGACATCTTTGTCTCAGTCTTGATTTCTAGGGGAAAAGCTTTCAATAAATCAACCTTATATATGATGTTCATTACAGGCTTTTGAATAAAATAAGGTGCCTTTGTATTTCTATGAACTGAAATTACTGAGTTGTATCAAATGATATAACTGTACCTATTGAGATGATCCTATGATTTCTGAATATTTTTGTATATAAAATATTCTCTTTGGCATCATATGGCAAAGATAAGACATAAACACTTTGCAGTGATATATTTAAGGCAATTTAGAGTATGCTAGATTTATCTCACAAATGTTCTTAAATTTCAGTTCTTAAAATTTCAGTTCTGATTATATGCATAGCCAAGCAGGTGTCTCTGTTTCCTAGAAGCTTTAACTAGCTAAGTTCCAGTGTTGGTATTCCATCTGAGATGTATATTATTGCTTTGTAGGGAAGCAAGCTGCCTTAGAACCATTCATTTTGCTGAACCTTCTTCCAAACTCAACTGACAAGTATTATATTTACAATGGCTCCTTGACATCTCCTCCCTGCACGGACACTGTTGAATGGATTGTTCTTAAAGATACAGTTAGCATCTCTGAAAGCCAGGTAATCTTGGAAAGTCACATTAATGAAGTCATTTGAAGCAGTTTAAAAGGAGTTATTTTCTACCTTTATTACAGAGTATCTGTTTTAAACAGCTTACTGATGGCTTTGAAGCAGGTATATTAAATTATCTGATCTTCTTTCCAGTTGGCTGTATTTTGTGAAGTTCTCACCATGCAGCAGTCTGGTTACGTCATGTTGATGGACTACTTACAGAATAATTTTCGGGAACAACAGTACAAGTTCTCTAGACAGGTGTTTTCCTCATACACTGGAAAGGAAGAGATTCATGAAGCAGGTATGTATTGAAATAGAAGTTTTCTACAACCCTCACAGATTCAGTGTGGATAGTAATTTGAGTATAATGAACAACATACAGGTTTTATAGTTTTAGAAATATTTTAATTAGCTTTATAACATTGGGTAAGATATTGAGCTCCGAATCCCAGTTACCACATCTCCAAAATGGCAACCAGAAAAATTCATTATTCCCCATATGAATAATCCCAATCTACAGATGAAGAAAAAAACTGAGCAGTATTTCCAAAGCACACAGTAATAAGTGACAGAGCCACATGAAGCCCTCCAGATTCACTTTACAGAATCTTCCTGGGCAAGAGCTGTAATAGAGAAGTTAATAAGAGATAGGGGAGCTTGGGGAGATCCTTGTGCGTGGAGTAATCAGGGGACCTCCTTCACAGAACCACATTTGAAGTCAGACTCTTCACACATGATTTGAGTTTTAAAGTATTCACTGTGTTGCTAGCTTCTGAGGAAGAACCTAGCACCTAACAGGTGTTGAAAATGAATGTGCTGAATTATTAATGAATTAAAAACGAGTCTTCCACCCAGTTTCCTTTATTAGAGAAAGGAAGTTTACTTTGGTCTGACCCAGCCAATGGAGCCAATGCCAGGGATGGTGGGGACAGAGGGGCAGTCCCAAGAGTGTTCTTTGTGTCTTTTGAAGCTGACACAGCAGTCAGAAACCTTCAGAAATGTGCAGAGGACACAATAAGATATATCTACTGACATGTCCTTTTCATTTATATTGAGGTTATATTCGTTCATGAAAAAAATAGTTGAAGTGGCCTTTGCTTTGGGGACTTAAAGTTTTTCCAAGTAGACAGTCTTCTTTGATCTAAGCCCTATGCTGTATTTTTTGCCATGTATAATGTGAAATTAATAATTGACTTCTTTTGAAGATTGGGCATTAAAACAGTATACTTGTAATGTTTTAATGTAGTACTTGCAAGAATTATTTGTCCTTTAACAAAAATAAATAGAGATCAAGACAACAATGATGAATGGCTGCATTTAATGTGACATTAAATTTCAAATTAAATTGCCCAAAAGTGAGGAAATTTAATTATATTTCTTCCAGCAATACTAAATTCTATAATATCCTTTTGGGTAAATAACAGACAATTGTTACAAAAAGAAAATAGATTGAACCTCCTTCTTTTCCAAAATGCAATGACCAAATAACAAAATGAACAAATAATATTTCTTTTCTTTCCTGTACTTTTTTCAATTATACTTTTTGAAACACTTCAGTAGCTTCACATTTCTTCTAGAATAAGATGCAAGCTGCTAATGCATGGTAGTTCCTGATTAGAGCTTACTAGTTTTAATGTTTACCCTCCCCAACTGTCTTCCTGCAGATAGAAAAGTGCACTCTCCAAGTCCAGCTCTGGCCCAGGCACAGGACTTTACACTTGAGGATGCACCCTGCCCTTAGAATATGAAGTGAACGATGTTCAGTTGCACTTGTACAGTGTGCCCGAGTGTTCCCACATTCTGTGCATCCAGACATCATCCAAATCACCCCACAATGGCAGATATCTACCTGAGTGCGTGTTTACTTCCCCTACTGAGCTCTGAGGCCCAGGAAACAATAAGTAACTAAGTCTTTTATCTCTTTACTTCCATTGCTCAGCTAAGTAAAGCTCACATTCACTGAATATTCAGTGCATGCCCAAAAGAATCCATTTCCATGTAATAAAAACATATCAGATTACACTTGATGGGTTCTTTCTGCACTACTTAATGTGCACACTTATATGTAGTTCTGAGTTAATGTAGATCATCATTGTTTCACAGTTAAATGTTAAAAGCTTAAAATAATAATAGCAGAAACCATAATAGCTATCATGTATTATATGAATTTATCAGGCATTGAAGTATAGAATATTTGATTTAAACCTCTTGTCATGCATTTAATGACATGGGCCTCATTTTTCTCATTTCACAGTCTGGGTAGCTGAAGTTAAGTGGGTTGCCCAAGATAACACAAATGGAAAGGGATAGATTCAGTGTTTGAACCTGGGTGTCCTGATGTTTAAGTCTTCCAAAGCTTTCTCCACCATGCTTTATACTTATAAAGGAGTGTAATTTCAGCATACTTGATTTTATAATAAAAACTGATGACCTGAAAGATACAAAACTTAAAACATATAGTATTGGCTTTGGAGTGCCTTGTTAATCCTAGGGTCAAACACAGGAGCAACACTTTCTAAACTACTTGGATCTTTCAAGTTACATAAATCTGTGATTGGACCTATAAAGGATGAAAGCAATTTCCTTGAGTGGAGCTTGTGGGAATCAATCTTATTTCCATAGACCACATGTGTGTGTTGTCACAGAATTTCCTATCCCTGTGGCAACACTCTTATGGCTGTCAGAGGAAGAATAAATAAATGATTGATCACCTGTTTGTGACTTGGTTCTACAATAATTAAATAGTAGAGCTAACTAGGGAAAAACAGCTATTCAAACTAGACTCACTCATTTAAATTGAAGTGAGTTACAAAATGCAAACTTTTTAAAAAATAAATTTTATAATAAAAATGTACATTCATAGGCTGTTTCAGCTGGGTACCTATTCCTAGATACAGCAATTGTCCAGCGTCCTCAGGAAGCTGTCAAGCAATCATTTTAGCATGTTTGTATTGTGACTAAAGATTTAGGCATCTCACCAAGAAATCTATGTACAATCTAGAAAGCATTATTTATAAAGTGTTATTTTTTATCATATATCCTTAGGATAAGCAAAAAATACTAGTTTTTATTAATATTATTTTTATGTCTTTAAGATCATCCGTTTTATTCTAAAATTAGGTTACGCAAACCCATCTCTCCTGCAGTCTCTGTTGCTGGATCCCAGAGCACTGGCCCTCACATTTTTCTGACCTTGCTCTTTGGTCAGTCTTCCTTGCAGATTCTCAGCTTCTACCCTTATACTACTTCAGTTTTCATGGCGTTTTAAGGTTGAAGAATTAGCTTGACCCTAAATCCTTAAAACTTGCTTACCCATTCCAATCCCAGTGAGCTCAGCAATCAAAGGGCTCTATACTTAACAAGACATATCACCACAAGAGGGGCCAGAAGTGGTAAAGAATGCCTTTTAAAGAAATCTGGTACACAGATTGTATGCACATTTATTATCTTAAAGCTCCAACTTTATAAAAATATGTGATTTTTGAGGTTGCAGTGACATCTGCCTATTAGAAAACTCAGGCTATATCAGTTGGATGCATCTTAGCTGTGCCGGTAAATATTCAATCAACTATCATTTTTATTTAATGTGAGCCACTGTCAAATATTAATTGACTCATATACCACCACTCATCACAAGGCTATCCCTATTCTCCATCGCTGAAAGTTGTCCTTTCTGCTGAACCATCACAATCTCCTTCCGGCAGTCATATGCCACCCCATTCCTGTTTTCTCTTATCTTGCTTCAGAGGTCTTTATTTCCCAGTCTTGGTTTCTTGATGGATCTCTACCTGACAGATTTCAGTATTTCCTGTAGCACCTGAAAAAGTACTTGATTGGTAGTAAGATCCCTCTCAGACTCCTAGATGAAGGAAGAGCAAATGGGTGAATTAAAGAATTGGCAGAGACTTTCTTATTAGCCTTTGGGGATATGAAGAGTATATGTGTTGGTAACAGCAAGCACAGGAGGGATGAATGGCCTTAGATGTCCAGACAGTTCAGAACCAAGGTCTTTGTTGGGTGCATTTTAAATAATTAAAAAATTTCAAAGCCTTCAAAAGAATATGATACAGCTGTAATTCATATTCACAATTGAAGATGGTCCAGGGGAAAAAAAAATGTAATTTTAAAGGCATAGCTTGTCTATCCCATAACAAAATTAAGAAATAGTTTCCTAGTGACTGAGAAAAAAGAAATAGTTTCATAATTCACTTTCTTCATTTTAACTTACTGAATATTCAGCTAAAATTATTATTGTATTTAACAATAATAAACATTCATCATATCAAGGTTATTATATAGTAAGTTTTGCAGATTCTCATTGCAAAACATTCTGCATTTACTTAACTCACAATAAAAAATGAGCTACTATTTATTTGCAGTAGAAAAGGAGGAGTTGTGAATCTGTAGAATTTTTGAGCTGTTGTTCACAAACTGGAACAAGTCTTGCTTTTTCAACTGTGAATATTTGCATTCAATGAAATTTATTATTCCTTGTTTTGTGCACAGTCCTGTGGTGTTCCTTTTATTAGTGAATACACCACCTACCTTCTGTTTTTAGAACTGAGTTTGATAATAAGAATTGAAGATAGAATTTATGTTCAGGATGTAATTTTTACTATATTTAAATGAAAAAAAGTTTTCATTACATAAAATGAAGGTAGAAAATATAGATAAGTGCACTTTAGAAAATAAAAATTCCCTATTAATGTCACTACTCATATAGAGCCACCATGAGGATTTTGGTGAATAATCTTCCAAATTTTTCTCTTAAATTAAAATTACATTATATCTCACAAAACAGGACTGTATTACATATCTGTTTTTTATTGTCTGTATTGACATCTATTTATTTTACATACTGACATAAATCTGTCTTTAATTTGGCATTTTAATTTTTATGTGCTAACCCACTGTATGGTTAAAATGTATAAAACCAGTTCCTTAGTTTTGGACATTCAAGTTATTATTTATATTTTTTTACAATTATAAATATCTAACATCCTCATTTTGACCAAGAGAGAAGATCCAGCATGGAAATTGTCAGAATCTTGCTCTTAATATACATATTTTGTTAAAATTGAATTTTGCAATATATGCTGCAAATTGTTGAAAAACCATGTGAGATCTATGCATGTATGTGCACCCTGTGAGGTCAGAGATGAGCCCTTTTTTCATTTTTGCTTTCACAGAGGACACTCAATAAATATTTGTAAATAAATACACATTTCACTAGAATTTTGAGCCTCTAATTTTTCATTTTTATGTAAAGCTACCAGTTATTAACAAGGCATTTTTTGGCATCATGGAATTAAATAGAACCATCTGGTGTTGAAGGAGTTATTAAAGCCGTCCTTTAAATAATACGTACCGTGTGTGAATATCAATGTGAACATGGTAAAAGTGTAAAAGAAGGTGAAGGACTTTATCTCTCACCCTGCAGCCCCAGATTTCTACATGCTGCCCTCTTAATGCTCTCATTATAAAATCAGGGTGAAATGTAGTGGGATAAAAGCTTGGGCTTTTAAAGCCCAGTTGACATTGGCTTTCAAACCCCACCACCACTACTTATTGGTTGTATAAAAATTGTCAAGTTACTTAATCTCTCCAAGCCTGTTGCTTTACCTTTTATAAAGGGCAAAAGTTAAAGATGGTCTCCTCATAGGGATGCCATGAGGCTTGAGTGAGCTGGAGTTTGCAAAGAAGCCCCATGCCTTGGATTTGATGTGCACCTGACCGAGAACTAGTATTACTGTCATGTGGATGCATGGATGAGAGGCAAGAGATCAGAGCGACTATGGAGTGCTGTTCAAATTTCCCATGTTCAGGGCATTCTAAAATAATTTGTCGAACAAAATTATAGAGTACTTGAAATCTCGTTTGCTAGCACCATAATATAGTTAATGTGAACTATTTTTTAAGTGACAAAATATAAAAGGCATAGTAGCATGATGGGGATGTCTTTGCAGTGTAAGTATGTGAATTATGAGAAATTTTTCTACCATTTCCTGAAAAAGGTCATGATGAATTATACACTAGTAGATGAACCTTCTTGAAGGTCAGCAGTTGTGAATAGCTGTTGTTAAGGTCATATGTACCATAAACACTATAATTATAATGAGACAAGTAAAATGAAGATTATTTGTTCCTTAGATTATGTGTTACAAATTGAGCTGTTGAGGAAGTTACTCTGTGTCTCTGGAGAAGATTGTGAAATAGTAGAATTTGAAAGTTTTTTTTTTTTTTTTTTTGTCTTTTATCTAAAGGGAATGATGTAACCATTCAGAGCAGGGATAGAACTTTTCTAATATATTTAACATTTGTATCAATGTTGACATTAGCTTTATTAAAATCCAACACCTCCCCCTGCCCCCCACCCCCCAGACAAGAGATCTCAACCTTGTGTTTATGTTCTGGGTCTATAATCCTTAAGCTTCTCTCATAGTAATTGTCAATGTACCTGTAAGGATATTTTTTAAATAAGGCTCATAAACTTCAAATAAGGATCTGGTAGATTTCCAAGTGTCCATTCATATAGTACTGTTGTCACGAAATATATTAAACTATACAGAATATTATATTAATGGGAAATAAGTGACCTGAACCTAGAGTAGTCTCAAGTAATTATGACATTTTTCTCTGCCATTCCCCAAGAATCATTGCCCTGTTTTTTCCTGTCCACCCACATTTTTAATCATAATACATGGAACTCAGACTATACCTTCTCCTGTGTTTCTTCCAAGGCAGGCAGGAGATCAAGGGAGACAAATGTAACCCAGAATCCCCTTGCCATCTGCATCAGCCTTCTTGATAAACAAAGAGATATGCCTCTTGACTACCAAGACATGCAGTTGTATTTCTCCTCTGTTTCTTTTGTTTGTTTGTTTTCTTTTCACTTTTTCCTTTTTTTTCATGACATCAGTACTTTGCCTTTTAATCTTTTGGTACTTTTTCCACGAGTCATGTACATTCCTATGTACTAGGTGTTCTTTTTTGATATAAGTAATAAGAGGATAAATGATAAGCCACAGAACTTTATGACAGCGAAAAGTTGGTGAAGCTTTACAACCTTGAGTGGAAAGTAAGTAGGATTTTGACAAACACAACCTAACTTTGTGTAAGTAACAGAGTAATTCTTTTAAAAGTTTATTGTGGATTCCCCTATGAATGCAATGGAGAATTTAGAAATTAAGGACACGCATTACATCTTAGCACTTACTAAATTTTAAGGGTTAGAAATCTATTACAGGATTGAGTTTCTTAAAGAGAAGGATAGCACCTTCTGCATCTGTATATCAAGAGTTCTTGGCACCAAATAAGTAGTGCCTGGAACCCAGCAGTAGAAAGTACAATTTAAAAATGTTCTTAAACCAGGACATTTATAACTTCTTGATAAATGAGACTTTGTGGGTAGGATCCTGTGCATTTGTATGGTTCGGAAGTACTTCCTTGAACTCTGTACTTTACATGGGCCCTGGGATGTGCCAGAGACTATCTCACAATCAGAGCCCTACAGGAACCAGGCTCTCCTCCCTGACCAGTGTTCCCTAGATACGAGTAACTGTGACCCAGATCACATGTAGCTAGTGAAAGGAATCAGGATGCAAGATGAGTCCTGAAGAAGGTGTGAAACCTAAACAGAGTTCCCAACATCCCTCTCTCAAGGAAAGCACATTCTGTTATTATTCTGTTCTGTGGGGGCTTGATGTCTATCTCCATATTGATCTGGAAATTCCTTCTTTTGTTTTACAATCCAGAGTATGTATGTATGTATATATATATATTATATAAAGTCTGTATCCCTTTAAAAAGATAAGTAGGTGGATTCCAATAGGAAATATAGGGAAAACCTGGAAATTTTGGTGCATATGACTCACTTCTCCCATGGTCACTGCCCAGCTTGATGTGTGAAAGCCAAGTAGGACATGGGATGAACCAGACTGTGATTTAAAAGATCTAGTCCTAACATGTAGAAGGGCAATCATTTGCAAAGATCATAGACTACAGACAGAGAAGAGGCCTTTTATAACTTGAACACTTTCTAAAGTACATATAGTCTTTCCCCCATAAAATTCTGTGTTTAATCAACTAAACAAGAAGATGCAGATTTATAATACATTACTAAATGTTGGAAAAAGGAATGCCTTTAAAATAAATTTCTAATTAAAATACAAGTTTGGATTATTTTTAACAACTAATAAACTCTTAAATATTTACAATAAAGAAAGTAAAGGAATGAAAACCTGCTAGCAAAAATATATAAACTTCTTTTTGGAGTCCTATTTTCTATTAATACTGTTCATACTCTTTGAAGTCATACTGTTTGATTGCTGCTGTTAAGGCAAGATAAGCATAGACATTCCAGCCCAAGTAGTTTTTTCTGCTTAGGAAATAGTCTTTTGGGAATTTTATAACTAATATTTTTGTATTTTCCTTTAGAGTTTGTTTATGTTTTTGTGTGCATGCATGAAACTAATTACTTTTAAACTGGTTTCATCTTGAAGAGTATAATTCACTTTAAATCATTCCCACATTCTTAAAAAAATGGATCAATTTTAGGAGAACAAAATCAACAATTTATATTGTGTAGAATCACTTTCCACATTCTGAAAATGGACTTGGCATTCATTAGAAGCAAGAGTCAAGCAATCCTGTGTTCCCAGTGCTAGTTTATGTGAATAGCCCATGTTGATATTTTGATGGTCTTCTGCCATCTGGTGGACATTCATGGAAGTGTCAGAAGATAGCATACATGATGCTCATTGTCTAAACCTAAATTAGAAGACATTTTCTTAGTCTCAGTTCATATTTTCGACAACAAAGGAATTGTCCTCTGATTCCAAAGGAACATCTCTCTCTAAGCTCTTCCGAAACAACAACAACAAAATAGTCTAAAGGTATCCAGTGAAAAATCAATTTTCTAACTCATAGTTACCCGTCTGTTTAAATTATATATTCATATTTTTATGAATTATTCATATTCTATTGCAGTCCTAGAGTACATATGGAATATGTACTAAATACTGCATATAAAATGTTACAATGTAAATAGCCAATTGTTAGTTGTGGGTGCCCTCCTGTGTTCATGAGGTAAACTGCAGACTGAAGAAATACCACATTCAGATGCAGTTGCGGGCATCTTTTCATTGAAACCCTGTAGCTTTGGTGTGCGTGATGATTGGTTGGCCTAAGTCAACCGAATGCTCCCATCTTGTGGCTTTATAACTTCAGGTATCATCTGACGACAAAGACTGGTTGTGAGCTTGTTAACTAATCTTTGTCCTAAAGAGAGCTTTCTTCTTCTCTGTTTTGCAAATCTGTCTAACCTGTGAAGGGATTGCATTTATTACTTTGCTTCATTAGCAAAGTATGATAAAATTTTGTAATTCTTCTCCTCCATGTTATTCCAGTCACATTATAAATGCATTTTAGAAAGACAAGTCTTCTAATTCCTGGGAATTATTTGCTTAACCTTAAGCTAAGTTCATCAGAAAAGAAGCAGTATGAACAGGTGCAAATAAAGCAATAATCATGGTAAAACGAAACAGACAGTTGAGATGACAGAGAATCGCTTTTGCAGAGATAACAGTGTGTATCTTAGAGGAGGTATTATTTGGTCAAGACCTTTCCTGAATGGAAAGGTAGAGTCAAACAGAAAGAGCATTTTTGCTCTGGTTCAGTTATTTTGAACCCATGCGGGAGTTCAATCCCTAGAGTCTTACTAAAAGGGTGAGTGACTATGGTATTTGAAAGTAGGGCCTTTGGGAAGTGATTGTATTAGGCCATAGAGACCCATGATTGAATCCTGGTGCTTTATAAGAACAGTGAGGGGGACAACACAGACACAAAGATACACATGTATTCCTGCATGACGTGATATGGCCAAGGGGACCCTCAACAGACCCTGTGCCTTGCTCTTTGGACTTTCAGCCTCCAGAACCGGGAGCTAAAGCTTCCTCTCTTTATAAAATAGCCTTCCTCAGATATTTTTTTTTGCAATAATGAAAAACTTACTGATACAATTTTAAGCATAAGCAAAAGTTCCATGATGCCAAAGCATTACCTTATGCCTTATATTGAAGTAATATACAACAAAAACCTTCACAGGATGTGTTTTACTTATTAAAGTCCTAGAAGTCAACTGTTATATCAATAACTATTATTTATTTTTTTTCCTCTGAAGTTTGTAGTTCAGAACCAGAAAATGTGCAGGCTGACCCAGAGAATTATACCAGCCTTCTTGTCACATGGGAAAGACCTCGAGTTGTTTATGATACCATGATTGAGAAGTTTGCAGTCCTGTACCAGAAGTTAGAAGGAGAAGACCAAACCAAGCATGAATTTTTGACAGATGGCTATCAAGATTTGGTAACTATAAGATTGATTGTTTTCATGTGTGATATTGTAGATTGATTTCCAAGGTAAGCACTTACAGATGCTTGTGTGTTGTTACCCTTGATTGCTTTTGACTTTGTGTGAAGGTCTCCCAGGGAAACAGAAGTACACTAAATTATCTCAAAATGACAGTGAATTACAGGAAGACCATGACTTTGCACACAACCTTATGAGTGTAGCTACATTTGTGCAGAAGTCTTACTGACTGAAGACCATTTAGTGTATCCTCCATCTACAAGTAAAAGGACTTAGAGAACTGCTAAATACCCACCCTGAGACTTTACAGTTGTGGGTAGAATTTGGATCAGAATCTCAGTGCCCCAAATGTCGTGAATAATTTCCTCCATCACACTGTCCCAGCACAGGAAAATTAGAGCAGGGACTCAAAAGTCCTTTTTTTTACATCACATTTCTAGGTAACATGTGAAGTGCTGATTGAGCCAGAACTTAGGGAGGTATCAAAATATGTAATTCTACCAGAAGATCCACCCTGCTACCTCCACCATGCACATAATTTTAAAAGAAGAAGAAGAAGAAGAAGAAGAAGAAGAAGAAGAAGAAGAAGAAGAAGAAGAAGAAGAAGAAGAAGAAATTCCTTATGTGCCCGAGCATCTCTGCATTAAGTTTTGCTTTCCTAGGGAAGAGTTGGCCACAGATTGGGACAGATTCACAAACCCTCCTCTGTATGTGATCAGGAAGCTGCCACTGCAGGACAAAGGACACTGGACTCCACATGCAGGCAACTGGAGCACTGCAAATTGTGGTAGTCTGAATTTACACACAGTTGTTATCATTATCTTGTTTAATAGCATATGGACAAAGTAGAGAGAATTTAACAATTTAGTTCAGTTGTCAGGAATCCAGAGATACTCAGACATGGAAAGCTGTGGAATTTATGAGTAAATATTTTTATTTCATGATTATATGAACAAGGTAATAGTTATCTTATTGCTTGTGTGTTTTTATATATGCACATATAATATATATAAATATATATATATATATATTATATATATACTCATTCAGGATAAAGAGAATTATTTTTCATTGTATTTTTCATATTTTTCTTATTTGCAAATATTACATGTTTCTCCAAAATATTAATTTTTAGTTCATGGTTCTCATTTATGAATTTGATTTCATTTTATGAAGCTTTCTAATCTAAATCTTAAAATTAGAAAACCTAAATACCTGGCTTCCCAATATCTTCATAATTCACACATATCACAAGGTCAACTTAATAGCATTGCGTAAGTATTTCCTTCAAGTTGTTAAAATATATTTTCCATTGAAAAATAAGAAAAAGTTTTCTGGGACAACTATCTAGTTTGTGAGTCATCTAAGAATAGCACACTTGGATACTTACTAACATTTTTTCTTTTAGGGTGCTATTCTCAATAATTTACTACCCAACATGAGTTATGTCCTTCAAATAGTAGCCATATGCACTAATGGCTTATATGGAAAATACAGCGACCAACTGATAGTCGACATGCCCGACAATGATGCTGGTAAGTGCTTCCCTGATATACCTTTATATATTCTAAACAAAAACGGGGCTGTTTTAATTACTGGATACATTGGTGCTTTCTTCCGACTTTATATTCTTTTGGCCAAAGTTTGGATCACCAGGTAATTTTCTGAGACATGAGACTGTTTATCATTCAGCAAATCTTGTGCAAGACACTCAGTAAATAGATTCTTAATATTGAACTTTTCCATTTGTAAAATAAGAACAACAAGCCTACTTATAATGTTTGTAATTATCATCAAATTCAAATTGCTATGTGAATATTGAGACTTTTATTTTGGATTATTAAGAACTGGTTTCATTAGTGTTCATTTCCTTTTTCAGCTCCCAAAATACTTTGTAGTAAGTATGTGCATGATCCTAAGATCATGTAAGGCATTTGAAACATCTGTATATAGCACCTCAATGGTTTATCTTAGATGTTTTTATCTCTGTTTTATAATTTGATCTAGGGGTGCTTTTCTCTTAGTTGATTTGCTCCTACCACTTCCCCAAAACAAAACAAATTGTTTCTGATTGTGTTTTATTTGCATGCATCTTTTCTAAGTATTATGGGAAAATCTTTTGATCTCAAAGCATATGCAATAGCTAAACAAGCACTGGCTATCATAATTTGACTGTTTAAAAATTTACATAATTAGTTTTCCTTTTGTCAGTGTAAGTAGTTTTCATGTAGTAGAATTGAAGAGTGTATATATGTATTTACATATGTATACATTCATATATATGCATACATAAGTGTAAATATTCTCTGGTCAACCCCATCATACAGCTATTCATTAAAATGTTTACAGGTTATTATGTAAATGAATAGTTACAAATTATACTAATGGTAGCATATTTCAGTTTTATGTACAGAAGGAAAACCGATGTGCACTGCTTTAACTTTGCTGCCTAAATGCTGTAGCAGGGACTATAATCCAACAAGAGCTTAAATAAAGGACATGATCAGAGGTCACTTTGCCAGAGTTGTTCTAACTCGTTGGCTTTTTAAGTTGGAAAATATGTCCAAGGGTACTAAATGTTATAATAGGTATTTTTCTAAACCACAGACTACAAAACTAGCCAATGTAGCTCTTGTTGATATTGATAGCTAATGATTATTACTACAATCATGATGGCAATATAATGTTTACTATGGCCTGCTCATGGCCTGCACATAACCATCTTTCCTATTGCCTTTATTTTGCATTGTTTTTCAGAATCAGGTTAGTTTTAAATGGAAGGTGAGCTCTAAATCTTATAAAAGGTGAGTTTCAAAGTACCTGACTATACTTTACCACATTGCCACCACATTGAACGGCAACAATACCAAAAGTTCCCCAGGTTGATCCACCCAGAAAACAATGTCATTAGCATCACAACATTGATTATGTTAGCCAATACTACACGTGAATAGATTAAACTATAGCATGTGAAAATCTCTTCTACCCTTATTTGCACATTTTATTATGAATTCTATTGAAGGGATTCACCTCATTATATTATCTTGGATTCATTATGCTGCTCTAGTTTCTGTACATAAAACAATTTCCCCCAGGATTTATAAAAATTAATTGCTTTAGACTGTTTGTACTTATTTACTCTAGACACTATGCCAGAATTCTCAACTGTGTGAATGTTTTTTATTTTTGAAAAACTTATTGCATATGAAAAAATAGATCAAATGTATATTTTCTATAGAAGTAATTTCTGAGTGATTTTTTGACTAAGTCTATTCACTTTGTACAAATAAAAAATGTTATAACTTAATTTTTATTTATTCAAAGGATTGAGACACTAATGAACATTGCTATAATGAAATGCTAGCTTGGACCACCATTTGATCTCCGTGGATGCCTTATTTCCCTTAAAGCACTTTTTACAGTAATTTTGTTTTAGTAAATGACATGATTTGATGTGATGTTTTGAAATGATATGCCTCTTAAAAGCCCAGGCTTACAAACCTGCATAGGATATTTCCTTACGACTCCTACAAAAAAAAAAAAAAAAAAAAAAAAATTCTTCATTAGTTATTCCATTTTACCCAAAGTCTGGGATTTCTCTGTTCTTAATAAAGACTATATTAGTTCTCTTAGAATTTATTCTTTCAGATTTTTAAGCCTGCAATAGCATCTCAATCCAGATATTTACAAATCACTATGGAAACTAGATTATCTTAAATACTGTTTCTATGGTAGACATCACAATAAACAGTAGAAGTCTCGACAGCAAGCTGGGTGCAGTGGCACACACCAGTAATCCCAGAGGCTCAGAAGTTTGAGGCAGGAGGATTGCAAGTTCAAAGCTAGCCTCAGCAAAAGCAAGGTGCTGAGCAACTCAGTGAGACCCTGTCTCTAAATAAAAATACAAAATAAGGCCGGGGATGTGGCTCAGTGGTCAAGTGCCCTCAAGTTCAATCCCTGGTATCCCTCCTCCCAACCTCCCATAAAAAGTCTTGACAGCACTACTACCTTCTGTTTGGGTAAAATAGATGTGGTGTCTACAAGATTAGTGAATTTTATAATATATGTGGCTAATATAGAAACTTGTGAGTGCTGGTTATTTTATAGTTTTTATTAGTACTGTTGCATTCTGTTAATCATTATGTTCCATTGCATTGGTAATATTATATCTTATTGAATTATTCTGTTATTTTTTATTTTCTAAATCTGTAGTACTCGTTGCTTTTGCTAAAAAGTAGTAGTGGAAATAATAAGTCCCCATTCTTTCATAGATTTCAGACATTTTAATCAGTAACTTTGAAGGAATACTCAGTTTTCAAAACTGTGCTTTTAACTCACTAATATCATTAAATCATACACTTAAATTGTTGATTTAATTACTTTATTGTTTGTACATATTACATTTGTTACTGTGTACAACAGTATCACCATAAAAACATTCAGTATTATTTCAAATTACTATTCTAAAATAAATGTATAAATTCATGTTCAGAAACTAATTTTTTCAACAATCCCTTTTTAATATTAAGAAGACATGTACATTTTTTTTGAAATCCTTTTTAGAAAATTACACTTATGAATGAGTAATTCACAAAATAGATCTATCACTTTGTAACTAAGCTAATCGTGTTCCTTTCTCTTCTATCATATAGAATGTAGATTATTTACTTATACAGGACATTATTTAAATAGATGTTCTGGAGCCTTGATAACTATGTGAGTTCCATTTAAATGCATGATGAAATTAAAACCAACATTTTTCCCCATTACTGTGTGTTTTTCAGTTGTATACACTTGTCTTGTTAAATTAATCTACATCTGTCCTTACTCTACCTGCACCATCGTTATGCTACTGATGTTATTATATAATGATATTTAAAATCACAGTTTGAAGCAATTGCAGTCTGAATTGCTTTTACTTTTTTTCCCTGTGAACCTTGGCTTACCAACAAATAATTAAATAAGCTTTGCTTGTCAACATATGTCAGTGGTGCTTTTTTTGTGTCATGTCATATTAATGTTTCCTAGTGAACTACTTTTAAAAGAAAGTAACATTATATGTGCCCTAAACAAACTCTGAATATTTCAACAGCTTTTGGTCAGTTATTGCCCAAATATGAATTTTAAGTGTTTACTGAAAACAAAAACAAAAAGAAACAGACATGGATGGTCTTCACTCTCAGACTTTTTTTTTTTTTTTTTGCCTTCAGGGAGTCTATTTTGCTAAAGTGAAAATATTCTATAAAACAGCATAATTTTTAAACTCTTTATGATATTCTGAGGCAGAACCATGGCTACTGAAATATCAGTTATCATTTGTGAGAAAACTACAGGAAAGGGGAAGCCCAACATGAGATCTGCTACCAATTGTCAGAGCTGGTCTAGGGTCAGTGTCTTGAACTCTCAGATCCAGAACTATGATTTCACTACAGTCTTTCAAATTTATTTTATTTCAACATTGCTCTGAAGAAGCTCAACAAAAGACTTCTGAATCTGGAGTGGAAGTATTGAAGAGTTCCTGGGAGACCTCACAATCGTAGAATGTTCAAATGATGTTCAGTCCAGTTTGAAACCAGAATGAAGATCCTTCCAAATTAGGTTATCCTTATCACTACAAAGTCACCTGCCATTGGGGTGGGTGATCACTCATGAGAGTGTTGTGGAACCAAGAGGGTCTCAGAGGGTTGTTTATGCCTAAATATGCAGACCTGTGTTGGTTAGCTTTTCATCGCTGTGACCAAGATATATGACAATAATAACTTATAGGAGGGAAGGTTTATTTTGGTTCACAGTTTCAGAGGTTCTAATTCACAGTCAGCTGGCTCCATTGCTTGGAGACCTGAGGTGATGATGCACAACATCATGGCAGAAGGATGTGGTGAAGGAGAGCTGCTCAGCTCATGGCAGCAAGAAGGCAGAAGAGAAAGACTGGAAGAAGATAAACCCTTCCAGGGCAGGCCTCCAGTGACCCACTTCCTACGAGTTATCAAGGGATTCATCCCCTGATAAAGTCAGCCCTCAAGATCTAATCATTGCCCAGAAGCTCCACCTCTGTATACATGAGACTTTGCAAGACATTCCAGATCAAAACTATAATAAGCCCCAAAGCCTAAAAAGGTCCAAAATTGTTTTCTTAATCCTTAATTGAAGTAAACAGCAATCTCAATGATAGTAGAAGTCATTGGGACTCCTTAAGGGATATGAGTGGATTAAAATCCTGCATTTTAATTTGTAGGAAACAAAATCCATATACTAATGCTGTAGTACAAGGATAAAAATGGGTCAAATGCAATACATAGTGAGACTATTGAAAGAAAATGAAATTAACCACCAGTGTTATAATTAAATATACCTCACTATGACCTGACAATGAAAGAAGAAAATTACCTTTGCCCATTGAAAATATGTAGTCAGGTGAAGTCAGACTATGTTTTTAAATTTTCAAACATGCTATGCATACTGAAAGTAATGAAATATTATTGAGATTTTTTTCTCCAGTCTCTTAAACAGAGAAAAGACTATGATATATATGTCAGTAACAAGTATTTAATTGTGATTAGTCCTTACTAACATTAAAATATTTCAAAGGTACATGAAAAGAGTGTCTCAAGTTGAAGTAGTTTTGATAAAATTAGATATGTCTTGTGTGCTGAATTTGGACATCTTTCCATGCATGGACTTCTCTAGTTGTAGCTTTTTGAAAATCATATCGAAGATTATTTCTGTCACAGTTTAGTGGCATCTTATTGTTAAATTCACATCTGTTGATTTTCTTGCAGGTTACAAAGATACAGTACTTGAAACGATTGAAATCATTTCAGTTTGGGAGCACTGAGAATATAGATCATGAACCAATTAGATAAATTAAATAGAAGGGAGACCAACAAAGTAGGGGAAGGAGGATGGGGGAGGAGGAGGAAAGGGAAAAAGGAGGCACTAGGGACAGAAATGGAGCAAATTAAATTCAGAGCATGTATGATTATGTCAAAATGAACTCAACTAATTACGTGTAACTCTAATTTACTAATAAAACCATGAAAAAAGAATGAAGAATATAAAAAATATAGGGTGGGAAAAGGATTTTGTAGGGCCAAATATAGAAAAAAAAAGAGAACACTAATGTTCCAAATAAAAGTTTCCAAACTCTTTCTTGGTCAATTTAACAAGCAAAAAATGAGAATTATAATTGAATACACAATTATTGTCTCTAGCTAATATTTTCACTTTTATAGCACAGAAAGTTATTCACGGTAAGTAACCTTAAAATAACTAAATTGTCAAGAACACTTACTGTACCTAAATCTTGGGCACTTACAGATTTTACTTGAATTCTCTCCTAAATATAATTCATGCATAGAACTATATTTTACCTTTATTTTAATTGCTATCTATAAATTTTCTGATAAAAAGAAACTCAGGAAACATCCATTTTGGAAAACAAGTCTGGGTATGAGAGATATTTAATGTTAATTCAATTTTGCTTTGCAGTTTCTGCAGAATATGCATTTCTTTTGAGGACAGGTAAAGACATAAATCAGAACATAAGTAGTATTGAGAGAGTACAGAGCCAAGAGCATCATTATGATAATCCTCAATCCCTCATAGTTACTCTGGCTACTATCTTCCTAATGACCTAGGCAGCTCAGATGAAACCTTTAGAAATTTTCTCTGAATCCTGGTAATTTGGCCATGTGGCTAGACTCCTTATTGGAGGGAGAGAATTAGCTCTTAGTTGTTCCTAACATTTGCTGACAGGTCTTCTTTTAGCTGAGAGATCCATGTGTTAGGAGTATGTTGATTCTGGTTGGTTGGGAAAAACAGACTTTGAATGGAACCAGTTATTGATATCTTTGCATATACAGTACTGAGTTTTCTGGAGAGAAGGTACTAGAAACATTATGCTCAGTGCTTCCTGCTACCAACCTAAGCTGGAACCTGCTGGAAAACACTGTCCATTTTACCTGGTGCAACACACTGTGTACAAAAAAAGCATTAGTACAAATTGAGGAGTGAAAAAGAATTATTTGACCTTTTAAGTCAGAAGAACTTAAAAGGAAAAAGAAGTCAAATAAGAAAACAAATCCTGCCAACTCTCCAGAAAATCCCTGGCATTTTCCCAACTGCTTCTGTGAGCCCCACTAAAGACAAAAGTAGCTGCACTGATGAAAAGTTCTTTGAATTTCTTTGCACTTACTTATATCAATCTCATTGTCCTCTCTTTCCTTCTGTATTTCCCTAAGTCTTGGGGCAATAGTGTAAGAGAAAGATCAAAGTTTTGAATCCAGTTACATATAAGTTCATGTAGGATTATATTATGTAGTGTTCAATAATGTTGAAAACTGAAATTTGAAATTTGTATTCATTTTGAAAGGTTCTGTACTTTCAAAGCTAACATCAGTTTTTCTTGTTTATTTCCCCCTTTTCATCCACAAAAGGCTGAAAGAGTTTAATAAAAAATGAATAACTTTGTTTTTAATTTTGTAGAATTTGACCTTTTTCCTGAATTAATTGGAACTAAAGAAATAATCAAGGTATTGTAGCTTTCTATTTTATGTTCAAATTTTTTAAATTAAAGTTGACTTTGAATTGTTATTTAGATATAGTGGTATTAATAAAATTTAATGTTACATTGTCCATTGTTTATTGAATTTGTGGCTGAGCTTTATAATCATGTAATTGGTATACATGACTTTTTATGAAAAAAATAGATACTTTGATTAATTTAATGCCAAAAAAGAGGTATGAAATTTTTGATAATAATGAAATAAAACAGTGAACTTTAAAAACAATTAGAACTATGAGATATAGCTATAAATTGGAAAATTTTAGTTCTCAAATTTGTCTCAAGTGCTAAAATAATATTTTATTAGTCCTTAATATTGATAATTTATTTTTAAATAACTTGATCAATGATTGATAAAATCATAATAAATATGAACCAAAATATAAATTGTATGTATATTTTGCCTGTTTATTATTTGTATTCAAATTGTTCAATGTTTGTTTCTAGCACAATGTCCTCCAAGTAAATATAGTTATTTGAGAATATCTGCAAATTTTAACATTATCATAATTTAAAATGACAGAACATGATTGTTCAATAGATCTTATATTTCATCCTAAGCCCAAATGTGCTGTTCATAACTAAAACTATATGTTTAATCCAGATGCTACTGTTGATAACATTATGAATGTGTTGCAAATGTACATATCGTTTACAACCTGATAAAGTGTAACAGCTAATGCTATTATATAGCAATAATTTTCAATTAGCTTGTGTTTTCACAAGTGTGATTACTTCAATAATTTATGTATCTTATGGACATTCTCTCATACAAGAGATTGTTTTACCAAACAACCAGTCCACCTTCCAACAAGTGTTTCCAAAACTCAGCTAAGGTATCTCATGTGTGTGGTATAAGCCTGTGCTAGGGTATGTGGATATGTATGTGCCTAGAATGATCCACAGAATCAAACCAAACAAGGAAAAAGTAAATTATTTTCTTATTGTGTTGTCAGTTTAAATTGTTCCAATGCACTGAAGCAAACCCTTGTTCCAGTGATTGTTGCCATTTAGTAAATGATATTCTGTTTATAGAGTTCCATGTCAGATGAAATGTACCACACTTCATGAACTTTTTAGACAGAATCAAGGGAATGATCAATTATTTTTCTTTGTAACTCCCATTACCACAATTCCATATTTATTTTTCAATTGATATTACTACTATAGCTGCCTTTAGCATAACCTTACAAACATTTCTTCAAATTTTCCAATGTTAATTACTAGTAACTTTCTATATAAAACTATTTTCATTTCTAGTATAACATTTAGCTTTAAGAACAGGCTGTAAATGTGACTTGGTTTACCTTTATTTTTGCTATAATACTTGATAGAAGTAGCAGTGGCCACATATATCAAGGTGCTTCAGGTCTCACCAGCTGAGACCTGAATTTTGCATACATAAGCAGATCTTCCTGTTAGAAAGGAAAGTGAAGGTGTTTTCATATGGCTTCCTGCACACTGCCTTGTTATAATTAAAGAAAGATTCTTTTCTCTTAACATTTTTTTAATTGTAGATGGACACAGTACCCCTTTATTTGTATTTATTTTTACGTGGTGCTGAGGATCAAACCCAGAGCCTCGCATGTGCTAGGCAAGTGCTCTACCACTGAGCCACAACCTCAGCCCCAAAGAAGGAGGAAAGGAAATAACTCAGCGTATCATTCCAGGTCCCAATAAGAAACACATGCCACACACAAATAGGCACTGAGGTTAGTTTAAAATAAAATCCTGTTCACAGACGTGAAGGAAATGTCAATGCAAGCCAACAAGGGATGATCTATACATATGGGGCTACTAATATCAGGGACTTGTGACTGCACTAGGCCTGAAAAGGTGTGGAGAGAGTAGCCCGGCAGATGCTGGGACCTCTATAGTGGGACAGAGCTATCTGTGACAAGGCAGTTTTGAAAAGCCTCCTGGGAGATAGCCTCACTCTCCTTCCAACTACCTCCTGGCAGAGTGGAATGGAGACATAGAGAATATGCAGCATGCTGCAGAAGAAGACCCTTCTAAGAAAGCAGAATAGAATAAAAAATCATCTTTTCTTGTGGGAGAAGGGCTATGACCTAGAAGAGAAAAGAAGTTATTTATGACATCTATGACATTTAAGAGGCTCTACCAAGGGTGGTGCTGCCCAGAGAAACAACTCTCATTCTTTGAAAGACCAAGCCAAATGCATTGGCACTGCTGAGGGAGAGGGAGCCAGCTCACACTCCATAGATGAGGATCTAGCATGAGGGGTACAGGAGCAGTCATTAGTAAACTTGAGAAATTGGTATGTTTCATGCTCTTGAAATAAGCTGTTGTAATAAAGGGTTAGATTGGAGCAGATCCATGTCATTATGTGTTTTCCTGGAGCATAATTCTGAGGTGGGATGAAAACACTGCTAAACCCATCTACTATTCATTTCCATTGCTTCAGCAGGAATGATTGACAGAGATTGGCAAATACAAGGAATGTATTTTGCCAATGTACTTGTTTTTAGGCCCTAAATATGGAAATAAATCGTTTTAGGGATATTTCTTAGATCCTCTATAAATAGAAATTTATGACTTTAAAGACAATAGTACCTCCAGCATGATCAAGACTTTACACTAAAATTTATTTAAAAAAAATCATGAATGATTGCAGGTATGGTGATACAGATCAAAACCACAACAGAAGAGAGATTTATAACTCCATAAGATCTTATAGTAAAGACTATCAATTATAATATTTGTGGTCATGTATATATAAAATAATCATAAAGCATGAATGATATATGTTTTTGAAATGCTAACACAAGGTATATGACCTCAGAAATTAACAAGACTTGGTAAATAGTCCCTCACCTTCATCAGATTGCAAGAAGTCTATCTGACCATATCTCATAAAGTTTAAAATCTGCTAGAAAGGAAATTAATCATAGTATATGTGTGGGTTTGAATATAGTCTCCCCCCCACCCCAAAAAACATGTAACAGATGAAGGAGATGAGTAGCTTTGCTTTAGTAAAAATTCTACGGGAATCTACAAAGCTTTGGTAGGATATGGGGTCCATAGAGATTATTGGATCATATAGTTAAAACAGATGGCATGATTTTTGGAGAAATTTAGTTGAGAAGGGAAAGGGAAAGATAAAATAATAAGCAGAATCCAAGGGTTTCCTTTATATTCCTTTTAAATAGGAGTGAACTGAATTCATTTAAACTGATAAGAATGATTGTTTTGGTAATTTGACAAAACTCAAAATAGTGGGAAATACTTAAGTGTGGTAAAGCAATCAGGGATAAATTTTAAGATCAGGTGTAGGAATTATCCTTGGAAAGTATGGGAAACAATATCTCAGCTGCAACAAGTTGACAGGGACAGGAGAGACTTGGTTATTCCATATTTTTAGTGGTAGGAGGAGGTATGATGTCTCTTGGCTTCTGTTTTTTTTCTATAAATAGATAGGCCATCTGCTGAGACTGAGAGAAGGGCTAGGAAAAAGAAAGTTCAAGTACAGTTTTGGTAGAAGTTAATATTGTGGAATGACCTCAGAGAACTAGGTAAATACTCAGATTTGAAAATACAGTGAGGAAGAATTTGGAAACTCCACACAGCTAAGCTTACCACAGGTCCTCAGCAAACTCTGGATCCAATTATAAAACAAACGTTTGTGAGATCTTCTAGGTAAGGAAAGAAAAGATAACTTACACCATCAGATTTTTACCAAAAGCAATTCAAGGGAAAATGTTCTTATTTTCTTTGGCATTAATTATTTAGGCTTGTAGATAAGGGGAATGTTTTATTCTAGAAATTGAAGAAATTCCACAGGTTGTCCTTGTGAACAAGGTATTAAACAGCATGCAAAATTCCATGAAGAAATATCAACCACTAGTAAGGAAATTTCAGTTCACATATGACATCTAGACTTCAGAAAATACTATATGGCCAACTATATAATGAAGCAGTCATTAAGCCTGGAAGCCTATTTCATATAGAGCAGCTTTGCACACATGTCAGACATATAACCACAAGCACGCATGGTTTAACATTCAAGTTCTTTCTGCTTATACTGGTCAAGTTCTCATTGAATTGTATGCATTTATTTTGTTTTGTTTTGTTTTTTCTTCTTTTAATAAACATGGCCATAAAATCCTAATCAGTGATCTAATACGTAGCAATTTTAACAATTTTTTGAGTAAAAAGATATTGACCAAATAGTATCCCACAAGAAGTAAAAAAAAAAAAATCCTGTCTGACAGTTTACTTTTTAAAACTACAACAAGTCATAACATTCCCAATTTTATATAAACACACACACACACACACACACACACAGCATGAGTCTTGGTTGACTTCTAGCCAGAGCACTCCAGAGCCCTTACACATACAAGATGTACAGAGAAGACTTGGCCTCCTGAAAAGTCACTGTCACTGTAAAGGAAACAGAAGATCAAGCAACTTGTACTAGAATTGTATTTTGACAAGTTGCCTTTAAAATATCTGCTTATGCCAGGCGCAGTTGTGCACGCCTATAATCTCAGTGGCTCTGGAGTCTGAGGCAGGAGGATTGCAAGTTTAAAGCCAGCCTCAGCAAAGCAAAGCACTAAGCAACTCAGTGAGACTCTGTCTCTAAATAAAATAAAATTAGGGCTGGGGATGTGGCTCAGTGATGGAGTGCCCTTGAGTTCAATCCCTGATACCCAGTAAAATAAAATGAAATATCTGTTTACCTCTGAAGTGTAAAATATTAAAAACAAAAGGAAAACAAAATTGCTTCTTTTTGTCCTAAATTTTCCCCAAGATGATTTAAAAATTGATTTATTGTGAATATATACAATTAAATATTTTCAGTGACTAATTATTTCAATCTTTGAAATAGTTTCATTGCCACTTCATATTACAAGAAAGCTAATTTAGCTTGCTGCCCAATTCACTGAACAACAACAACAAAAAAAGAAACAAGAAAATAAATACCACATGAGATAAAACTTTCAGTATATAAATACAACTCCAAAGAGTCTTCCTTTTAAAGTTGTATTAATTCATAGCTCCCCATTCTGTACCATTATCAGTTGTAAATAATGGGTTTTCATTACTTCCCATAGAAAATGGATAGCAAATGGTGTAGTACAGAAGTATGGTGAATAGAATAGAAGTGTTTTATAAGAGTAAAAAGTTCCCAAAATCCCACAAGTGGTGGTTAGCAGTAAAATATATTATTAGTATTTCATTTCTTTCTTCTTTTGTGCCTTGAAATCTTGTTTTCTTTTTAAAGGAGGAAGACGAGGGAAAGGCCACTGAAGAAGACACTGTGGTGAATCCTGGTAGAGACAGTGCCACAAACCAAATAAGGAAAAAGGAACCCCAAACTTCTACCACAGCACACTATAATCACATAGGGACCAAGTACAATGAGGCCAAGACCAACAGAGCTCCAACAAGAGGAAGCGAATTTTCTAGAATTCCCAAGATGTCTTTGTATTCCACTTCCCAACCAGTCGCTGAATTAGCCACAGAAAAAGATGTTTCCATGATTCCTCAAACTGTGACTGAACTGCCACTGCGTACTGTGGAAGGTACTTTGACCTCTTTCAATGATGGCTCTGAGACTGTCCTTAGATTTCCACAGATAAACTTGTCTGGGACTGCAGAATCTTTAAATGCAATTTCTATAACAGATTTTCAAGAGGTATCTACTGATATCAGTGAAGAGGACAGTTTATTGACCAGTTTCAAGCTTGATACTGGAGCAGATGATTCTTCAGGCTCCAGTCCTGCAACCTCTGCTCTGCCCTTCACCTCTGAGAGCATATCCCAGGGGGACATATTTTCTTCAGAAATCCCAGAGGCAATCACATACGATGGCTTTAAGCCAGAAACTGCGAGAAATGTTTCAGAAGATCCAGCTTCATCAGGTTCAGAAGATTCACTAAAGGATCCTTCCATTGATGGAAGTGTGTGGTTTCCTAGCTCCACAGATGTGTCAGCACAGCCTGATGTTGGATCAGGTAGAGAGAGCTTCCTCCAGACTAATTACACTGAGATACATATTAATGAAACTGAAAAGACAACTGAGTCCTTTTCTCCAGGCCCTGTGGTGTCACAGGGTCCCTCGGTCACAGATATAGAAATGCCACATTATTCTACCTTTGCCTACCTTCCGACTGAGGTAACCCCTCATGCTTTCACATCATCCTCTGGACAACAACATTCGGTCTCCACCATCAATGTTGTACACTCGCAGACAACTCAGCCGGTATACAATGGTGAGACACCTCTTCAACCTTCCTACAGTAGTGAAGTCTTTCCTCTAGTCACCCCTTTGTTGCTTGACAATCAGATCCTCAACACTACCCCTGCTGCTTCAAGTAGTGATTCGGCCTTGCATGCTACGCCTGTATTCCCCAGTGTTGATGTGTCATTTGAATCCATCCTGTCTTCCTATGACGGTGCACCTTTGCTTCCATTTTCCTCTGCTTCCTTCAGTAGTGAATTGTTTCGCCATCTGCATACAGTCTCTCAGATCCTTCCACAAGTTACTTCAGCTGCTGAGAGTGATAAGGTGCCCTTGCATGCTTCTGTGCCAGTGGCTGGTGGTGATGTGTTGTTAGAACCCAGCCTTGCTCAATATTCTGATGTGCTGTCACATCAGACCACTACTCATGCTGCTTCGGAGACATTGGAATTTGGTAGTGAATCCGGTGTCCTTTATAAAATGCTTATGTTTTCTCAAGTTGAACCATCCAGCAGTGATGTCATGGTGCATGCACATTCTTCAGGGCCTGAACCTTCCTATGCCTTATCTAATAATGGGGGCTCCCAACACGTCTTCACTGTTTCTTACAGTTCTGCAATACCTGTGCATGATTCTGTTGATGTATCTTATCAGGGTTCCTTATTTAGGAGTCCTAGCCGTATATCAATGCCTAAGTCTTCATTAGTGACCCCAACTGTGTCATTACTGCAGTCCACTCATGTCCTCTCTGGTGATGGGGAATGGTCTGGAGCCTCTTCTGATAGTGAATTTCTTTTACCTGACACAGATGGGCTGACAGCCTTTAACATTTCTTCACCTGTTTCTGTAGCTCAATTTACATATACAACATCTGTGTTTGGTGATGATAATAAGCTGCTTTCTAAAAATGAAATAATGTATGGAAATGAGACTGAACTGCAAATTTCTTCTTTCAGTGAGATGGCTTACCATTCTGAAAGCACAGTCATGCCCAACATGTATGATAATGTCAATAAGTTGAATGTGCCTTTACAAGAAACCTCTGTTCCCATTTCTAGCACAAAAGGCATGCTTCCAGGGTCTCTTGGTTATACTGCCACTAAGGTTTTTGATCATGAGATTAGTCAAGTTCCAGAAAATAACTTTCCAGTTCAACCTACACATACTGTATCTCCAGCATTTGGTGACACATCTCTTAAACCTGTGTTTAGTGCAAACTCAGAGCCAGCACCCTCTGACCCTGCTTCTAGTGAAATGTTGTCTCCTTCAACCCAGCTTTTATTCTCTGAGGCCTCATCTCCTTTTCATACTGAAGTATTGCTGCAACCTTCCTTTCAGTCTTCTGATGTTGACACCTTGCTTAAAACTGCTTTTCCAGCTGTGCCTAGTGATCCAATATTGGTTGAAACCTCCAAGGTTGATAAAGTTAGTCCTGCAATATTGCATCTCAAGGCAACAAATTCTGCTTCAAGTGAAAGCGCGATGCACTCTACATCTGTACCAGGTTTTGATGTATCACCACCGCCTTCTAGTATGCACTCTGCTTCACTTCAAGGTTTAACCATTTCTTATACAAATGAGAAATATTTTGAACCAGTTTTTCCTAAAAGCAAAAGTTCCCAGCAAGAGGTACCTTCTTTGCACAGTAATGATGAGTTATTCCAAACTGCTAATTTGGAGATTAATCAAGCCTTTCCTCCAGAAGGAAGGCATGCATTTGCAACCCCTGTTTTATCAATTGATGACCCACCACATACACTTATAAATAAGCTTATATTTTCTGATGAAGTCTTCACCTCCACCAAAAGTTCTATTACTGATGAGGTATTTGCTGGTACTCCAATACTTGTTTCTGATACACTTGTCTCTACTCATCACTCTGTTCCTTTAGGAAATGGGTACATTTCTGTTACAGCCGTTTCTCCCAACAGAGATGGTTCCATGACCACAGCAAAGCTGCTGCTTCCTTCTAAAGCTCCTTCTAAGCTGACCCATAATGCCAGATCTGATGCTGATTTAGTGGGTGGTGGTGAAGATGGTGATGTTGATTATGATGATGATGATTATGATGACAGGGATAGTGATGGCTTGTCCCTGAATAAGTGTATGTCATGCTTGTCCTATAGAGAATCCCAGGAAAAGGTAATGAATGACTCAGACTCCCAGGATAACAGTCTTGTGGATCAAAATAATCCAATCTCACATTCATTCTCTGAGAATTCTGAAGAAGAAAATAAAGTCACAGGTGTAACCTCAGACAGTCAAACAGGTGTGGACGGAAGTCCTGATAAATCACCACCAACCCATGAGCTAATCCACAAGCACAATGATGGAAAAGAGGATGTGGACATTCAGACTGATAGTGCCCTGCTTCCTCTCAGCCCAGAATCTAAAGGATGGGCCGTTTTGACAAGTGATGAAGAGAGCGGCTCAGGGCAAGGGGCCTCAGATAGCCTTAATGATAATGAGACATCCACAGATTTCAGTTTTCCAGATGTTAATGAAAGAGATGCTGATGGCCTGGAAGCAGGCGACTCAGAAATAACCCCTGGATCCCCATGGTCCTCAACACCATCTGCTACTAGTGGACACTCAGAAGTGTTCAACAGTTCAGAGGCAGGTTAGTTATGACCAAGAGACAGACAAAGGTGTGGTGATTTTATTGCTCTAAAAGTAAAGTAGAAAAAGCATGGGAAAATAGATGTTTGGTAAAACAGCAGATCAAAACCTCAACAAGTCAATTTATAGGTTTTAAAGTATGGTTTTATTCATTATTTCAAATGAATATTCAACACATTTTGATCCTTACTTTTCTCCAAAATACATAGAGCAGTTTTTCTGTATTGTCAATATTTAAGAAGAATGCTACAGATGCCTATTATGTGTGGGAGCAATTATGTGTGGATAATACATTTTTAGTATATTACTTTCAGAACAAGGTCAGAATGTGCTATTTTGAGATATTTTAATTTTCATATTTGTGTTCTAAAATAATTTGTACACTAGGTCTACTGAATTATACTATTTAGTAATAGCATGAAATAAACACCTCTCAGTGATGTGCCCCATGTAAAGCAATTAGAGAAATTGCACATCAGTATCAACTTGGGGAGCTTTAAGAAGAAATGCTCTTAAGTTTTGAAAGCTAACGGTGAAGATAAAAAATAATAATAATAATTCCTTTCAAGTTGCCTTTGACTCCCTTAATGTTGCCTAAATGCCTAAAGAGGGCAGTGTAAACCAACAAAATGCATTTTACTTTGGGCTTGCTGTTATATAACTTTCAAAGTTAAATAATAGATATTAATATGCGTAGTATGTATAGGTATTGTGTGACAAGATGTAAAACACTAGAACATTTTCTGGAGGGATGCATTTCATTTGTTAATGTATTTTATGCAAATTGGTTTATTGGCCAGATGTTCCTTAGAGCAGATGACTTGCTGCGTATATAATACAGATGTCTGCTTTAAATGCCAGTGGGAAGGAAAGCAAGGTTCAGTTCCTTAAGTGCATTAAATACTAGATAATTTCATTGAATTGATGATAAGAATTTTATAATTTTCATTTATTGAATGATAAGGTATTTTTAAATTAACAGTGAAAATATTTAAATCTCTAGTTAAAGATAGGCTAATTTAATAGTCTGCATTCTTATTGCGTCAAAGTAAATATTTATAATCCAGCATATGAATCAACCTCATTATGATATTTTTCCTCTTCATTATTTTCATCCTTTGAATTAGTGTACTTTTCTTTCAGTGCAGCACCAATTAAAAGTTTGTATATTTTGATAGAAGTTTTTCTGTATTCTGACTTGATACCTATTTAACATTGCATTTCAGTTTAAACACTTAAACTAACATGTGAGTACGAATAATGAGTCCACAGGTTACTATATTCATAAGTGTTGTCATATATATGTGTGAGTGTGTGTGTGTGTGTGTATATATATACATATATATATATATATATATATGAATTGTTATCTGTTCTCAATTATAGTACTTGTTCTTTGAATTCTTATTAGATTTATTTTAAAGGGTAATATTAGGAATCCATCAATTTTTTATTACTAGGTATTGACATAGATGTGTTCTTGCTATATTATACCATCATAAAAAGACTCTGTATGTGTATATATATGTGTGTTACACCTAGAATTAGTGACTTAAGTAACAATTTGTTATTCAATCAATTAGTTAGATGTATTTAATTATTAAGAATATGGTCCCCCACTAATGAGGAAAAAAATATATAACATCCAGGATCATCAAATAATGTAATTAATGAAAATATTTAAATCTCTAGTTAAAGATAGGCTAATTTAATAGTCAAACAAGAAAAAAAATAAGATCAAACAAGACTATGGGTAATTCTTTCTTGTTTTTGAAGCTATATCTGTAAAAAAGATAATCACCATCTACTTCATATGTCCCTTAATCTGAGACTTAAAATTCATGGTGTATTTCTAAGAAATAGAATAATTTTCAAGATCTATTGCTCAAAACAATATAAATAAGTTAATTACTATTATCTGGTATTTTATAAATGAGTAAACAGAGACCCAAATACTAGATTAGTTAATGCAGTTTGTACAAAGACTAAACACAAAAGTTAGCCTAAAAATCTGTATTATTAGTTTCTGTCTCTTAGAAACTGTATGCTTCCATTATTGAGGGCAATAATTTATATATAGAACACTTAACTTTTAATACCAAAGTTATAATGCTGTATTCTCATAACATTTTAAAATATTAATCATAGTTCTTTATTTCCTAATTGCCTACTAGTACATAATTATCATTTAGGGAATTCATATACACTACTTATCCACATCAAAGTGTATACATATATTAGTTTCAACTAAATGAAAATTAAATCAATACAAAAGGTTGTTCCTCATTTCAGTATATAAAGTAACTAGTCGATTTTCTGTACTTTCATGTGGTATGCCATCTTGCATAAAGCATCTAGATTGTGTAATATATAATTACAATAGCATTATCATGCTAACTCCTCAGTAAAAGAACTTGAGATCAGTTGTCCCAGAGAATTTATGAGAAAAGTCTATATAAAAGACTACATATGTGTGCATGTGTGTATATAATGCTTGCATATAAATTTTATGTGTATTTGTTGTATATTAAATATTGTGTTATGTATATTCCATATATATCAAATATGGCAAGACATATCTCATAGATATGTGTTCATATACATCTACTATAAACCGGACGTATTTTTCTATATATATCCATATACATATTGTTATGCATATTTTTGGTAATCAAAGACCTGTGGAATTATATAAGCTCACATTGTACATACATGAATCTACATTATTGATTCTCAATTTTTATCATGGATAAAATCACCTTGAGGACTTGTCAAAACATAATTTTTTTTTTAATCTTTACCCACAGAGTTTCTGATTCATAAGACTTGGTGTGGTTTGGGGAGAGCACAAAATTTTCGTTTGTAACAAGTTACAGGTCACATTGATGCTGCTACTCTCAGGATCCTAAGTTAGGAACGACTGATACAGATAATACAATTAACCACGTATGTGATTACCAGGTACCAAGGACCTTGCTACGTAGATTATTTATTACCCAAAGACTTACTTTCCGTTTAGGTAACAATAGTTACAATAGGAAAAAAGGTAAAGATGACCATGTATGAAACAAGGTGCTGTTTTAATTTCATAAGGAAATTTTTACTGTACTCATCTGATTATTTAAATGTTCAGATGGGTCTCCCCAGAATGCATAATGGCCAGAGTCTGTGGTTGACCTAATAAAAACTGAAGCTTTGGCTTTTCTTATGAGAATTATGAGAATAATAACTATAGCACAGGGTTTGTTGGACTTACAGTATTTTTCCTTTTTGTACAGCTCTATGATATTTAGTCTCATTTTGGAATTTCCACTTTTTTTTCCTAACAGATGCATTTATAATTACAAGAGCAGTCATTTTGGGAAATACAGTTGTCATTTATGTTCCTCTGATGCATTTCCTGTCTGATTGGATTATATTTACAGCCCTTTCTGCCATCATTCTTAATTACAGAAGAAAATCATTATGTTCAATCTTAAGTTCTCTGTAGTTAGAACATATTTTAATGCCATGTATGTGCATTTATATCAATCTAAAATTTCTTACTCTTAAATATTTGAGATCAAATAAATTCCCTCCGTCTTGGGTCACTAATAGTAGATTTGGTATAAAACATCAAATGTGCCAACTGTGTAGGAAGCCTTTAAACTTTGACGGGGAACATAGTTTTAGTTCTTCCAAAAGTGGAAAAGATAAGGGCTCTTAATTTGTAGCAACATCAACACACCATGTTAGGACAACCCTCCCACCTACCCACACAGCAGAGAGGAAGGATTGCCACTAACACTCACAGTTCTGAAGTCTTTTAGGAACTTGGAAGGATATATCAGTTGCAATGATTTTTCAAAGTGATATTTCAGTAATGGTTCCTGACTGGTCACAAAACTAATCATTTGCCACATTTTGAAATTAACCCAAGGAATGTGTTCAGATTTTTTTCAGTATTTACATTTGTATATTTGAAATGAATCTCTTAGATATATGTATCCATTCAGTTCTCATGCAACAAATAGTATTTCATTTTGATAGATGAAAACCGTGGATAAGAAAGACATTAAAAATAGCATTTTTATAATTAATATAGTTTGATACATTGAAAGATGATCTCAATGTATAAAGTATTATATCCTAAGAGGTTTTTCTTCATGAAATATTAATTTCTCCAATTATTTGAATAATTACAGGGTTAAATAATTCCATTAAAATTAATTTTAGAAAATCGTATATGAAGAGTCAGTAAATATCTTTGTTTTCCTGTTCATTTTTTTTAAACTGGGAGGTTTTCTCATTTCCATACTAATGCTTTCCTGTGAGCAAGCTTTTCTAAGCAGCATTAGGTGTACTTCTTGCCATCGAATCCCCCCTCCCTGATGCCAACAATCGCTGCTGGGTTTTTGTCATTTTTCAGTTCTAATATCCCACCTTACTCTTTTTTTAACTTTGTTTTACTTAAATTGTCATTTAATTGTAGACATTCTTTACATCAAAGAGTCCCAATTTTAAGGTAAGTAACAGCAATGAAGGCTGCAGTTAATCCATTGAAAAGTGTTGTGACTGATCCTTCATCTTAAATGTCAACTCTCTTGATTTTCTCTGACTACAGAGGCCAGTAATAGTAGCCATGAGTCTCGTATTGGTCTAGCTGAGGGGTTGGAGTCTGAGAAGAAGGCGGTTATGCCCCTCGTGATCGTGTCTGCCCTGACTTTCATCTGTCTAGTGGCTCTTGTGGGTATTTTCATCTACTGGAGGTAAGTTGAGTATCTTTGGTGGAAAATTTCATTCATAAAGCTGAGATTTTGCCTGTATTTCATCTGAAATGTCTTCAAAGCATATTTGAGAGCTTCCATTAATTTATTCAGGTAGCTATGAATAAGGGGAATTTATGAATCCACAGACACAGTAATTAAAGGGTTGATTGTTCTATGTACTTAAACTTATAAAGGTAAAATGGAGGAACTTTGACTTCAGTTAGTATTTACTATGGTATTTTGATGGTTGCACTTTCATACTAACCTAATTAACATTCAGACATACTACAGAATTTAACATAAACCTTTTTACCAGATGTTGTAATCTAAAAGTTTTTATTTAAGAAAACATAATTTTTGGATGTGGTAAAAATATTTTTAATAACAGTTTGTACAAGATATACATCAACTTCATACTAATGAAAAATGATAACCTGTGCACAAAAGTAAAAATCAAGAAATTAAAATACAAATACAAGTAGGGAGTAAAGTTAATGAATTTACTTATGAATGGGGCTTTAAACTTATTCATAACTTGCTTTGAGGATAAAATATAGCTTCACTCTCATCAATAACTCATTAAAACCTTTAAGAGACAGGAATAATCGCACCCATCATAAGTTTTCCATCCTGCAGCAAGCAGAACACAGAGATCATTTGCGAATTTCCTAGAGACATGATGTAAGTCAGTAGAACTGTCTGTTGGAAGACAAGGACTTTGCAATGATACAAGCATTCATATCTATAAACCAGAAAAGGCCTTGCTTAGTAGTTTATATTCCTGTTTTAAAAGAGAACTGTGTTCAGAAAATCTATAATTAATTCCTTTTTGTTTAGCAGGATCATTTTATAAATTTATATCACAACTTTTTATGTGTTATCCCAAAATATATTCTCTCAGTTATTCCAAAATATTCCTTGTATTGACTATTTTCCATGCTGTATTAACTGTATTAACTACTATTGGAAAATATAAAAAACGAATGAGAGTCACCAACTTTTAAGAAAATTGTGCTTCTTGAGAAAAAGAACTCTCTATGAAAAATTTATAAAACATTACACAAAATTTCAACAAGTGAAACCCAATGCTAAGTAGTCAGAGAACAAGGGATCTTGAGAGGTCAGAACGGGCAGGATACATGTAAAATAAAATGTAGGGCTGCAACCAGATAGGATTCGGGAAGTAGAGGATAAGGGCATTCCAGGCCGGGGTACAGCAGTCTTGAGGACCAGGAAGTGGGGAAAAGCTGGATATGGCAAAATCAGTGAAGCTTAAAACATAGTTTTAAGTCATAGTTTAGTCATTGGTTGTCTAAAGCAGGATGCTTTCATGACCCAATGTATTTCCTATCTGACTTCTTTTACAGAACACATTAGAATTTGGACAATGGAAACCAGATCATATTTTGTTAACTCATGGGTCCATTTAACCCATAGGAGATGCAAACAAAGATGGTTTCTTAAATCTGCCCCAGTGATTCCTATAATTGACTGTCTCATTTTACAGAATATTCTGTGCTCAACAGAGAGCTTTAAAAATTGTACATAACCCATAAATGTTTGTTCAGCAAGCATTCATCTGATTGTCTTCCCACTTCTCACTGGGCTTGTTGACCAAATTTCTTACCACATTTTGATATTAGGTTTATTCAGATTGCTGGTTTCTATCTAATCTGATTTTCTCTGCCAAATCTTTTTTTTTTTAATTAATGTAAAGTGATGTCAGATTATAAATAAGATGGAAAATAAACCAAATTTGCTTCATGGTAAATAGTGCTAATGTGAAGTTCCAAAAAAGATGTCAGGTGGTTTATACTTAAAAGACTTCAGTAATTAGAATGAGTCTCTTGATCCACATTAATATTTAAAGTATATTTTGTGCGATTTGAAAATCATTGTCTTATTTGATATGATTTGGTATTTCATGGAAAATTAAAATCTGAAGTCGTTCTGATCTTCTTTTAGTAATGGGTCTGCATTATGGTGAGGAAAAGATAAAATTGCTAGTTGAAAATATACAAATTTGAATCTCACCAAATAGTCGTTTCTCTTTTTCTCACTAATAGCACTTTACGTGCCTTAAGAAGAGAGTATAATAGTTCAAAAGGTGAGAACTTTTTGTGGTTTAGGTGTATATTTTTCTCTATCAATTGCTCTGACAAATTTATCACTCTTTGCCTATCCATCTGAAAATTTGTTAAATATTGTTAAATATCTGTCTTACTCACATTTCTTAAAATTAATTCACTACAAAGTGTAATTTTTTTCAGACATTATACACTAAGTGTTAATCACAATAGTTCATTCTTCAAGATTTGTTTGAATTACTCAAATTCTCGTGTAGATTCAGTTGTAAGTAATGCAAGATAGAAACATTTAGACCTTTGTGAAAACTGCATTCTGTGGAAAGGTTACAAATCCAATGACATATAAATAACAGTATGAGAGTAATAGTCTTTACAAATTTTTCCAATTCACATCTTCAAACACCTTTTAAAAACAGCTTCAGTGAGATAAAACTAATATATCACAAATGCCGTCTGTTTAAAATGTACAATTCAGTGATTTTAATGCATTTTATTATTTCCTTCATGGTATTTCTGCATGTGCTTATTGGATATTTATATGCTTCCTTAAGAGATATTTGTTCAAATACTTTTCTATTTTTAATTGGGTTATTTGTCTTTTTATTATTGAATTATGAATATTTTTATATATTTTAGATACAAGTCTTTTATAAGTTATGTGTTTTGCAATTATTTTCTCATTATGTAGATGGTTTTCTAACCTTCCTAATTATATCTTTTAAAGTACCAAAATTTTAATTTCGATGAAAGCCAATTCATCCTTTTTTCTGTCATTTCTCATATTTTTGGTACCATATCTAAGAAGGTATCACCTAAAATAAAGCCATAAAGATTTACTTCTATAATTTCTCCTAAGAATTCTTTTTTTTTCTGATACTGGGGATTATTGAACCCAAAGGGTACTTAACTACTAAGCCACATCCCCAGCCCTTTTTAATATTTTATTTAGAGACAGGGTCTTGCTGAGTTGCCTAGCCCTCCTGCCTCGGTCTCCCAAACCACTGGGATTATAGGCATGTGCCACTGTGCCCAACTCTCTTAAGAATTTTACAGAAGAAAGACTCACATTTCCTAATTTCAAAGCTTATTGCAAAATGACAGCATATCAGCAGAGCCTGGTACTGGAACAGGAATAGACAAAATAGATCAATGGAGTAGAATTTAGAGTTCAGAAATAAACTCTTACATTTGTGGTCAATGGATTTTAGACAAGGTTCCTAAGATCTTTTACCATTTGTTTAAAGGACAATTGGATATCCACATACAAAAATCAGGTTAGACCTTTGTCTTACATTATACAAAAAAAAATTGAACTGAAACAGGATCGTAGACTTAAGAGTAAAAGCTAAAACCATAGGATTCTTAGAAAATATGTAAATATTTTTCTAATCTGATGGTTTAGAAGAAAATTATCTCAAAATTACTAAAGAAATCTTCTCTTTCCTCTAACTAATCTAACTTAAGGAGTTACCCTGTGTTTTTTATGAACTTTGAGAGTAAGAACATTATAGCAGAATGACAGAACAAGTTAAAGGTGATAAAATCTTCCTTGAATTTGCTATATGGCCTTGGGCAAGTCACTTACCTACCTATGATTTAGTTCCCTCTTTCTGCCATCTGGCCTCCCTAGGTCACCACTAAATTTGCAATAAGACCTTCTCTAAGGGTTCTGTGAATGAATGCAGCATCCTAAACATTGTTTCATATTTGTATAAGAATCCTGAGGAAAGGAATAATAATTACACATTTCCAGCTATTAATTCTAAATACTGTGATGAAAAGGTGTAAATTAAATAATCGGATTCCCATTGATTGATAGGACCTGCATCTACAAGTTGAAAACAGTCATCACTTTTTCCATCATGGCTGAGTGATAATTAGCAGGAGACACAGTTATCAACACTTAGCACATAGATGTGAAGACATTCACTGCACATTCAGAACAGATGGACTATAGATACTGTCTTGTCATATGTTAAATAATATGCCTTCAAAGTACTTTCCAGATGTTTTAAGGTATAATTTACATGAGCCAAACCATAAGCTTCTAAGAAGCAAAATAACTTCAACAGGGAAGGTTTTCAAATAGTTCTTTTTAAATAAAAAAGAAAAGGGCAGATTTTGAGAGATTTTAAAGAGTTAGAACCTAGAAAATTCCAAAGTTGAATTCAGCAAAATGGCACATTATCAAAAAAAAAAAAAAAAAAAGAACTTTCCATGTATGCAGTTGTTTGGGCTGGGAGAGTGGAAAGAAAAGCAATATTAATTCACTCTTGATCTTAAATTACATTTTGGATCCTTGAAGGTATCTACTCACTCAAATGGAAATCTCCTGGTGCCATACTGCCTTTTAAGTAGACTGTCATTTCCCAAATAAGACTACACTGTAAAGTATGTATTGCTTGGTAAGCAATATACATATGACCTTCATCCATAAGTTAGCCTATATGATTTTAATTTTTTCACTAATAAGTATTTTTGGTGTAATATATAAGGTTCTTTGGAGAAATTAATGCCAAGTAATATTACTAGACTTACTTCTAAAACCACCAAAGATTTAATCCCATAGTTAAAACCAAATAGAGTTGGTATTTATCCAGTTACTAAAATGAGCATTAACAACATGTTAAGCCTCAATGCTAATATGTTAATTTACTTTTTTGTATTTTATCAGATGTTGCCTTTCTTCCTATTCTCTCAGAGTTATTGGCACATCCTCTATTCATTGGTCTTACCATCTCTCCATCCATCCATCCTTCTCTACCTATAAATTTCATCTTTCCATCTCAAATGTTTTGACATTTCAAGTTATTTCATCTGAGGCTCAGGTAGGCAAGAGATTCCAGGATGTAGTTGAACAACATATGGTTGATACTAAAAATGCATATTATTGAACTCTTGGCACAGTTTTAAGAATTGAGTTTGCATGGGATCAAGAGAGAGCCCTATCTTTGAGAAAATTTTAGTAAGGATATAGATATAAAACATTAGAAAATAACTATCCTAACTACCAATTAAGAAAAAAAAATGTTTAAAATAATGTAGAATAATGTCCTGGAAATTAAGATCACTTTTGGATTGATTTTGTATATTTTTCAGAACAGTCTTTATGTAGATGAGGGTGAAGTTGGGCTGGGAGGAGTAGGAAGAACGTTTGTATGAGGTACATTGGAAAGAGAATCTGCTTAATGAGAGGCTGTTCCACATAGAAAATGTCTCTGAGCAGTCATGAAAGATGATATTGTTTGCCCAGCATATTGGTGAGTGAGCCATTTTGGTCAGGAAAATCATGTTTTAAGCAAGATAGACACTGAGTTAGAAGAAAACAAGACAGGTTCCATAATTTACCCTGCATGAGTGTTATTGGAGTACAAACTTCAAAGAGAAAAGCCAAAGATGGTGAGGATCACTGATAAGTAGGATTTTAGTATTGAAAATCTTGAATTCTACAATCTAAGAATCTGTTAAATACAGAGCTAGAGGCAAGGGATAAAAGTAGCAGAGACACAGATATCAACAGAAAGAGACCTAATGGGGGGAAAGAAGGCCTACTCTTTGTGTACGATTTGGAAGAGCTTAGAAAGGAATGAGTTTCAGTAAGTAGAAGAATATCTAGCAACTAATGGCTCATTTTAAAAAGTTAGCTGTTGTAATGGAAGCAATTCAAATTGGACCTTAACTATAAATTAGGGAAGCTGTTGAAGAGATTTTCATATCAACTGTGAATTGCACTAAATATTTTAATGCATCTTATCACTTTAAGATTCTGGTTTTGGTTTTGTTGTTTGTTTTCTCACCTCCTGGCTAACTATATTTAAGAGCTATCAAAGGGATTTTAATTCTCAGATCCTAAAATCATGTCCCAAGTTCAGTGTTTCCATGATGATGTGTCAGAACATGGTAACCCTGGTTGCACACCTAAGCCAAACTTCTTCTGTCGTTTCTGCTCCAGTCTGGTTTCATTTCTGCTCATTTGGGCTGTCCTTGGAGAGTTTCTTCCTCATGAGACTTGTGGTTCACATCTCACCCCTTCCTCTTCAGTCTGCCATACTCTCCGCTTTCCTTTTGTACCACCTGCTCTCTTTGGAAGATATTCTTGTGTTCTCTCAATTTATGTCCTTCCCTCAGATTTGATTATCAAAGCCTTATACTATTCCAGCATAGGACTGATTTTTTTGCTATGGAAATCATTGCTTTGGGACTTTTTTTTTTTTTTGCTTGGGACATTAAGGTCACAAACTATATGATTTTACTACTTATTTGCTACCTGTAGTGTTTCATTGAGTGAAGAAATACTTTTTGGCATCTATAACATGACAGCACTGAGGACTAACACAGCAACAATTAAGATAAACTATCACGTTTGGAGCTTACCTTCTAATATGAGAAAACAACTATAAATATGCAAAACAAATGAATACATTAATGATGGTACAAAGGGTTCCCCATTTATGACTGTGGACTATTTTATCATGATGGTACAAAAGCAATTCACATTCAGTTAGAAACTGTACTTCAGAATTCAAATCTCATTTTTATTGCTTTGTTGTTGTTGTTGTGTTGTTGTTGGCTAGTTATTCACAGTGCAAAACTCTCTTGAGAAGCTGGACAGTGCCACAACTTGGGACAGCCACAGTGGCACAGCCACACCTCCAGTTAGCCATATGATCACATAAATAAGGTGCTCTACAGTGTACTGTGCTGCTAAGCTATGATGTTTGGTGGTTAGGTGTGTTAAACACATTTTTGACTTATGGTATCTTCAACTCACAATGAGTTTATCAGGACGTTACCCCATGGTAAGTAGAGGAACATCTGTATTTCAGATAAAATTAAGCAAATAAAAGGGCACAAAAGATAGTGGCTTTGAGGGATGGGCTGACACCTTTAGCTAGCATGACCAGGAGCTTCCAAAGGAAATAACATTTGGGCAAGTGCAAAAATGATGGGAAGGAGACAGGCAAGCAGAGGAGCAGCAAGAGGCAACACTCTGAGTTGAAGCAAATGGGACTTCTTTGAGGAAGAAAGAAAGGACCAGTGTGAGCTGTGTGAGGGAGTAATGGGAGGTGAAGCTACTGAGGTTGGTGAAGTCTAAGTTATGAAAAGCCATACATCCCTTGCTAAAATAATTGAACATTGTTCCAATTGCAGTGGAAGCTATTCAATAATTTTATCCAAGGAACTAATTTACTGAAAAAATATTGAGGTTCATGTGTGTCACCACATAAGAACAAATGTTTTCTTAAAGCTCATCAGGATATATTAGCTTAAAGATTTTCTTTTAAATAGAATGTTTTTAAAATATCTTTATTTTTTTATTTTTATGGGGTGCTGAGGATCAAACCCAGTACCTCACACAAGTGAGGCAAGCACTGTATCGCTGAGCCACAGCCCAGCCCCATAGCTTAAAGATTTTAAAATGGAAAGTGAACTTGTAATCCCAGATACTCTGGAGGCTGAGATAGAAGGATCTCAAGTTCAAAGCCAGCCTGGATAACGTAGTGAGACCCTGTCTCAAAATTTAATAGAAGATTGCAGATGTGGCCCAGTGGTAGAGTATTTTTATAGCATAATAGAGGCCCAGAATTTAATGCCCAATTCCATTAAATAAATAAACAAACAGGAAACTGAGCCAGGCATGGTGGCATACCCCTGTACTCCCAGCTGCTTGGCAGACTGAGTTCCAGTCTAGTCTGAGCAAGATAGCAAGACCTCATCTAAAATTAAAAAAAAAAAAAATCTGGCTTTATCTAAAATGGAAAGTGAGATTGACATTGCATTTATACTCGAACAGATATTTGTTTAAAGTTAATCATTCATGAGTAACCTTTCAGATAAATCAAAAAATCAGATTGGAGTGTTGTTGACATTTTAATTAGCTAAATTTCTTAAACGAAGAATGGTTCATATTACTTTATACCAACTTCTGTTGCAGTTGGTTCTTTGCTTTTCTGAATAGTTCATTCTGTGCTCTTACCAGATGTTACTCTTATTATCTGAATGAAAATAAATTTAGGTGATGTTGTAGGTCATCCTTATCATTGATTCCAAGTATATTCATTCTCAAAACCCTCATCCAGACTAGCATCTGTTAGAAATAAAATCACCTTTTTTCAGCTTTGTGCTCATTCTTTCCTTCCTCACTTAAGTTCTGCCATTTCTGCATTCTCATACAGTACAGAGTTGCCTTCTTTTGTCATCAAATGTCACCCTACCCAATGCAGTTTCATTTCTACATGATCATGGATTGCTATCTGTTGCTAGCAGTTGAATATCCTCAGAAGGACATGGTCACTTTTTTGAAGAAGATAGATTTGGACATTCTTCTCCACTCTGGACCTTTCCAGAGTGAGCCACTTTGGGTTCTAGCAATAGTGGGATAATTATTTTGTAGAGCATTAATGTTTCCTATATTAGCAAAGTATTATTTGGTTCCTGCTACCCTTCAAATGCCATTTCTGCTCTCAGCATGTCCGTTAGCTGCTTGCTCTTCTGAGTCTGATACAGATAAAACTAAGATAAATTTGGATATTTGTACTAAATTCTTTAATATTCTGTGTTTTGTTAAAACATATGTAGACCCAGCAATTGCTCTTCTGGGCGTATGTCTACTTTTGTTTTCATTTGGCTATTTCTATAATAATTTTCAAAAAGCTCAGAAGTCTTCTTGTTATCTGTGCAGCTAGTAGTATAAATTGCTTTCTTATCTTTTCAGAAAATGCTTCCAGACTGCACACTTTTATTTAGAGGACAGTACGTCCCCTCGAGTAATATCTACACCTCCAACACCTATCTTTCCAATTTCAGGTAATGGCTTTAGGTGTGACCATGAGTAGCTGCTAGATGCTGAATGAAAAGCACAGTGTTGGAAGGTTTGCTTTTGTTGGCGTGCTTTGCCAATAGCTTTAATGTAGATTAGTAATTACTTGTGTTCCCCAAAATATTTACTATATCATGTATCATGATTTATAACCAGTTTTTATTCATTTTAAACATTCTTAACCATACAGATAGAACAAAATAATTTTTAAGTATTGAAATGTGATATGTTAAAAATAAGCATTTATAGCAATAAGATATTAGTTAAAAATAATGCTGTCACTCAGTTCCATTACTTTCATGGAACCCTCAGTAAGAAAGGTCAGACTAAGTCAGTGCAGTAAATGTGGATAGGAGGAAATAACAAAAACAAGGCTGAAACATAGCTCCTTTTTGATCAGTTGTCTGTATGAGAAAATACCTGTTAACTATGTAGAAAAAAAATATAAAATGGTGGTGGTAGTGGTAGAAAAAAAGCCAAAAACCCCCAAAAGCACAAAATATACTATATATACATATATATTTATATATATACATATACACACACATATATATACACACACACACACATATATATATATATATGTATATATATATATATATATATATATATATATATATATATATATATATAATTGCTTGAGACACTTAATTTTTTTTTCTCAATGTTGAACAGTTGAATATTTCGGAAGTTACTGAATATCTTCACCAGAATTTACCTGGAAAACGATATTTAAAAATTAGCCGGGTCCCTTTTGATTAAGATGTCCCTTAAACCCAGAGTTCACATGGTAAGACCTTGGCCACTTATTTAACACTTTATAACATCTCAGAATGAAATGAGGTCATTAAAAAAAACGAGTTATGTGCAAATATGTAACTATGGAAGATGTACTGGAGGGTGGAGGATGAGATAGGGACGAAGAAGTCACCACACCAAGGATACAGAAGAAAAAATTTGTAAATGTGATCATTTTATAAGAGTCACTTTTTAAACAGTCTGATGCTCCCTGAATTATTGCTAAGGCCCAAATTCTTCCTTATATTATCTTTTGAAATCTTGTGACTAAGAAAAGCAGAAATATTTTCTTCATGATATATATATGTATGATATAAATATATGTATATATAAATATATGTATATATATTTGTATATATATATATGTGTATATATAAATATATGTATATATAAATATATGTATATATATTTGTTATGTAGAGTATACATTATTTATGTTCTTATATGTTTTTGCTTTATAAGCATAGATCTTAAAAGGGTTTCTGGTTTTCCTTTTTTATTAACTCTGAGTCTTCAACCACCACTATTTTATTTTTGTTTTTCTTGTTCATACTAAAATACTATATATTTATTTTAGAATAGCACAATTTTTCATTAATATTTTAGAATTCTGAGACTGACAGCTTTCAGTTATCAGTTATGTTCACTCCCTTCACTATCAAATGTATCTCTTCTACATACCCCATCAGCATGAGGTATGCAAATTAACTCTAATATTATCCAAAGTCCAACGGATTTCATTATTAACAAGTAAAATGCAACATTTTAAAATCAGGACCTTGTAGAGGAAATCCAAGATCTCCATTCTGAATGTCAGAAGAGGAGTGGTCAAGGGAATGTCCTCATTTCACTTGCTCAGGTCTCAGGATTCACTCTTTATCACCTGAATATTCACTTTTCAGGTGAAATCAGAAAGCGAAAAGATATGTATCTCTCACTTGCTTTCAGACCAATTAATTAAAAAAATTACAAATATACATGACTGATGATAAAAACTAGTTTGCTTGTGAAACGTGGGCTGTGCAGGAAATATCAATAGGTTTGAAGGACATTCACTGGAACTAATGATTTAGGTGTGACAAATTATTTCTGTTTTCTTGTCTAATTATAAAAGCTACTTCCAGGCAAAATCCTTCTGTAGGTGTGAAGGTGGAATTGCACCTTTTTCTAGTGTTTCTTAAGCCTGATGGGATAATTCAGTTTTAGTATTCAAGTCCACTTATCTAACAGAAAGAACAGATGGATTCTAATTTTTTTTAAATCAACAAATTCTTGGTAACTGAAGCTTAAAAATATTAGATGGCCTAAATGCTGAACATCTGTTAATGTAAATAACTGTTTCTTGTGAAATGTGTTTGATGTTTCCTTGTCAGAGAAATTATTTGTGATATTGCATACAGTGAACTAGTAATGTTTAATCTCAGAAAGTCTGTAAGGATAAAGAGAAAAGGAAAAAAAACGGACAGTTAAAATAATTTAGCAATTAATTAACAGATCCAATGACTTTGTTTACATAGCATAATTTCAACTTACAGTTCTTGAAATTTTACAGATTAAAAGTCCCAAAGGTTTTTGACATTATCCTTAATGAATATTTTCTCATATAAATATTTTTTATGGAGAGAAGGAAAAAAGCTTTCAAATGTAATCATCTGACTATATAATTGTATAGTTTTATGAAACTGAAATTGCATTATACTAAAATTGGAAATATAGTTATTTTGTGAATCTTTTTTCCCAGAATTTACATACAATCCTCACACATGTTAAACATAATTTTCCATAAAGAGAGGGAGTGCACTGATAAGAAGTGAAGCTTAGGTGCTATTTATATATTAACAGTGAAAATAAATTGTTTTCTCTTTCAATTATGTATAGAAGATATTTCTGATCAAATCATATTTCCAAAATGCAAGTTATGGTTGATGATAAATATACATAAAATTGGAAATTTTTGCTTTAGATTTATTTGTGGTTATAAGAATAATTGAATTTTAAAGTTCTTTCAGAAGGCACTTCATTAATGAGAGACACATTCACTTCTGAATTATCCTAACATTGTTTTTTATTATTATTATTATTCATTTAGATGATGTTGGAGCAATTCCAATAAAGCACTTTCCAAAGCATGTTGCAGATTTACATGCAAGTAGTGGGTTTACTGAAGAATTTGAGGTATGATTTTAATATTCCTGTTTTGAGTAATATAGAAAATAGTAAATTTAAAAGATTCAGCAGTAAGCTATTTCTTGACCTGAAGACACTGAAACTATTTTCACTTCTGGGGAAAATATTAGTTCCATAGTTACTTACGTGTTTAGGAGATGTTTTGTAGTTACCATATAATTTAGAAAATTGATTTTCCATTTAAAAGCCAATTTGTACTAGTGGAAGAATCAAAAACATTGCTAATTCTCTCCCATTAAGTACAGATCTTTAGTATTCCTTTTAAAATCTGCCTTAGTAATACTGATTCTCGAGGCTGGGATTGTGGCTCAGTGGTAGAGCGCTCATCTAGCATGCGCAGGGCCCTGGGTTTGATCCTCAGCACCACATAAAAAATAAATGAATGGAATAAAGGTATTGTGTCCAACTACAACTAAAAAAAATTAAAATATAAAAAAATACTGATTCTTTTTGATTTTCTAAATTATATAAATTATACTAAACTACTAAACTTCATGATTTTTCAGCTAAACTTCATATAAATCCGTAATTGTAAGCATTACACCAATGCAAATGTAACTCTTATTATAAAAAGTAAAGTCACATCTTCTCAAGAAAATATGCATTTCTAAAAAACATTTGAGCCTTATAATCAGTGAAAACTCTTTCAGTGATATTCTATTAAATCTTCCTGTATAGAAAGGGTAGAGAATTTTATTATGACCAACTGAAATATCAATTTAGTAGATTTTCAAAATAGGGAGTCATTAGTACAAAGTTAACAATAACCACCACACACACACACAAAAAAAAAATGACAGCAACCCTAGGTGAGCATGCTGAATATGTCATTGACTAGGTACCTCCATATCCAAGCTTCACTCAGTTCTGGGAGTTATTATTCTTTCTCTTCATGTTATAATGAAATCAAACTCCATAGAAATTAAATAACAACCAATGTGTAGCAGAGCTGGGATTTCAAACCCAGGGCTGTAGTTTTAAATCTTATGCCCTTTCCAATATGCTTTCATCAAGCAAGCAATCCTCAGCCTCCCCTGAGCCACGTCCCCTAGGAAACACCCTAGTAAAACTGCCTTTTTGTCTTTCCCATGCCCTGCCCCCAACGTGCTCTGTGGACCTTCCTCTTAGAAGGGCCTTGAGCTCTGATGTCATCACAGGATCTACTCTCCTCTCATCTACTGCTCTCCTATTTGCTCTGTGGGACTGTTTCCCAGGAGTCACATCAATTAAGACATTGTTAGAAGAGGAAAATGCTGTAAGTTAGAAAGCTTTAAGAAATCAAATGAGCCTGGCCCGAGGTACAGACCTTTAATCACTTCGACTCAAGAGGCAGAGTCAGGAGGATTGTAAATTCAAGATCAGCTTCAGCAGTTTAGCCAGGCCCTAAACAACTTAGCAAGACCCTGTCTTAAAATAAGAAATAAAAAGGGATGGGGATGTGTCTCAGTGGCTAAGTACCCCTGGGTTCAATTCTCCCCTCACCTCCACCAAACCAAAAAACAAAACGAAAGAAAGGAAGGAAGGAAGGAAGGAAGGAAGGAAGGAAGGAAGGAAGGAAGGAAGGAAGGAAGGAAGGAAGAAAAGAAATCAAAAGAAATAGAAGTGAAGTGATATACTACAAAGAGTTACATATTTAAACCATCAAATTGTTTTCTTACCATAAACCAGAGATTATTGGTGGTACAGTGTTAACTCAGTGTTAACTAAGCTAACTGCACTGTTAACTGATAGAAATTATTGGGCTAACATTCAATAAAATTATTATAACAGCAGGAAAAATATGTGAAAAAATAAGCCTAATCTTCCAAATGTTTAAAAACAATCCTAACTAAATTACACAATTTATAATCTAAGTTGGTGACAGCATAAACAGAAAGGCAGATCAGTTTGCACAACTATAAAGTCATTTTAAATATTATTAAATGATTAATAATTAAATTAAGAAAATAACCTCATATTTTTACTTTAAAAGATTTGTTTTAATTTCATTGCTTTTAGCTCACAGTCTGATTTGACAAAACCTTTTAGTAACTTAATAATTCGTTTAATAACTAATGATTCTACACCTTTTAAGTGGTTTATATATTTAATTTTAATCATTCAGGATAACTTGCTGCAAAAGAGATTTTAAAAACTAATTTGGAAAGATACTGGGCCATTTCCTAATGAATCGGATTCACTGTGGGGTCATATACTTTCTCAGAATTTATAAGGTTTTCATTTGTTATCTTAATACTAAATAACTATGAATTCTAAACAAATGTATTTAGATAGGAAACATCTCTGAAAAGCTCTTTAATTCATTAAATAAAAATTAGCAGAAATAGTTTTTATGTACCCAGCGAAGTTTAAATATAGAGGAGGTATGCTGATTAAAAATATCAGAAATAATGATATATAAATTTTGTTTCAAAATGTCATAGTATTACAAACCACCTAATAGGAAGTTATTAACTGTATAAAAAAAACTCAAGCCACAAAAAGAAAAAAAAAAGTATCACAAATTCAGAGTTTCAAATAGAGCTATGGTAGTAATAAAAATTTTTTTTGTTTATTAGCAAATCTGATCACTATCACAAAATGGGTCATGGAGTATGTGGTAGTTCTCATCTGCGTTTAAAAAATTCATACTACACCAATGTTCCCTTTTAAAAATGCTATTTTTTTTCCTTCACATAATTTTAAGGTTCCAAATTGTTAGACATTTTGATTTGCATGTTGCTGTTTAAAACATTTTGTTTTGTTACTATGTGACGAATGTATTTATTGCATGATCATAGTTTTCCATTGTAAACCTAATATGAACACTTTTTTTTCTCATTTGTCGTGTGCTGTGGAATTTGATTTCTTTACTTATTTGGCATTCATTCCCTCATTAGACACTGAAAGAGTTTTACCAGGTAAGGCATTATTTCACTGCATTTTCTTTTAGCCAAGAAATAGTTGTAACATGTAAATAAATAAATAAATAAATAAAAATTTTTCGGATAGATTTTTTTTTGTTTTGTGTCCTTTATTTTATTTTAAGACACTTTGTTGGAAAGAATATGTGTTGAAATGGTTTACATACAATTTTTTACAGGAAGTGCAGAGCTGTACTGCTGACTTAGGTATCACAGCAGACAGTTCCAACCACCCAGACAACAAACACAAGAACCGCTACATCAATATCGTTGCCTGTAAGTACATCCTTGACTCGGCTGACCTCGCCATCAACACTGCTGTGCTCTCAGTGTGCCGAAGCCATCAGAGGGCAGATCAGTGTGGGACCTTTGTTTTCAGGGAATAAGAGTTGTGTTTAGTAATACATAGACTTCTATGCTTCAACTTAAATGCATCCTGCAATTAATGACATCTGCTTCTTTTATACTGAACACATTCAAATTTTAATTTGGTCCTTTCTTCAGATCCTGTGGGCTATATGTCTCTTTCTTGTGGTTTCTGCCATTATTTATACTCCCTGGTCCTATTTTCATTTGGATACATTCATTTTTATGTGAACTTACCAAACAAATCACACTCTCTTTAGACTTCTTTTTTATTTTTTACTCCTACCTTAGTTTATTTCCTCCCTGTCTTCCTGAGATCTTGTAAAGGATTGATTAGATTCCCCCTTTTGACTCCTTCCTTCCTCTTTCTTAGTTGTTCTCTCTCCTTCGTAAGCAAGTCTGTGACTTTTTTTCATTAATGATTGAACTAATTTTTTCTATAAAATTAGCACTTTTTCCCCATCTTCTTATAGAATTTCTTTTCCACATTTGTTCATTCTTATTTTGCTTTATACCTCTCTCTTTCTTTTGAATTTCATATTCATGATCCCTCCTCCTTAGCTTCAATGAGCACTATATTCCCAGCTGGGTCATTTGAATTCTGTTTCCACTCTAGCTCTGGAATCCTTATAGGGTTGCACCCGCCTCCTCTTATTATTATGTTCTCTCTTAAATAGTGTGCATAGGCATTACCTTCCTTTCTACAGGTTTACACCAACTTTTATTTTTAGTAGAGGACTCTCCTATGTGTTTGTCTTCTTCAACTAAAACAACTCTCTTGACTGCACATAAAACTTGGTTGCTTCTCAGGGTGAAATTGTTAGACTTCCCTCTGTGAGCTATATAGAAAATACCCACCAGGTAACTAAGAGGGACAGAGATGAACATTGGTTGAACACCTGTTGTTTGCTTGGCAATATAAATATATTATTTAATTCAATCCCTTAAACAACCTGAAAGGGTAAGTAATAACACTTCTGTTTCAGAGATGAATAAAAAAAAACCCTCAAAATTCTAAAAACATTGGAATCCATACCAAAGTATAGCTTGTCATCTAGATTCATCTTTCCATTGCTGGGCATCTATTTTCACTTAAGCTCTCTACCAATGTGAACTGTTACTGTCAGTACTGTACTTTCTGTATCAATGTACTTTGTTATGGTTTGATCTGAATTTACTTCTTCTTTCATAGATACTACTAAGTTTCCTTCTATAACATTTTCCTTTCCTAATAAATATCTCTTGCACACTCCATAGAACTGAAGCTAATCCCATCTCTACTTCAACATGTTTGTATTACCATAGTTCCGCTGTGTTTCACTTTATGGTTTTTACCCCTTTTCAAATGGCAGGGTTGGATCCACTTCTTCTGTCCCTAGTCAACTGTTCTGTCTCCTTTCATGGAAGTCCTCTTTGCAACTCTTCCTTGAAATAGCTTTTGTGGTCACCCTTCACAGGCCCTCCCTGGGATCCCTCAGCTTCCTTCACTACTGACCCTTCCTCCCACAGCCTCCTGTTCTGAGGCCTCTGCTGCCACCATTCCCTGGCTTTCTAAGGTTTCCATTACTCTTTTTTTCTCCTCAAGTGGCCCTCTACTGTTCACAGACCCTGTGTCATTTATCTTAGATGCCAACTTCAAGTTCCAACCTCTGTGAAAACTTTTATTATCAATCCACAGCAAAGCAGTTTCTCCCTTGAATCCCCCTTGGTAGCGCCCCTCTTTCCCAACACCTGTTTGTTGCCTCCTGGTATGTCCTGGGCTTACTCCATTAGACATTTCTTAAAAACAGAGATTTCTGTTTGTCTTTGTTATCTTTGTCATTTCAGTATCCTCCCAAAGCCTATTAAAATGAATTATTTTTTGTGCTGATTTTGTGTGAAATAAATTGTGACACACATGTAAACGACCTTTATTCTGAAGAGGAGTCCATACTTGAATGAAATTATTCTCTTTTTCATTCCAGATGATCATAGCAGGGTTAAGCTTGCACAGCTTGCTGAAAAAGATGGAAAACTGACTGATTACATCAATGCCAATTATGTTGATGTAAGCATGTATGATTTGAAATATTATGAAAATTTATACCTTAAATTTATTATACCATAATGCAACACTTGTACCAGTGTGTAATACATGTTATTTGATATATAATAAAAATTACAAATAATCTATAAATAACTTGAGATCCTGTAACAAAGGATTTCAGATTGAAAAACCCTATTATAATTAGCTTATCCCTTGGGGAAAGGAGGGAATTCAGGCCAAGAATGTACATTCAAGGTAGACTATGTATACTCAAGAGAAGTTTATAACTCCTCAAGTGTGAGGGACAAGATTAGTGCTTATTTTGAATTTCCCATAACTCCTGGCATACTATAGTAGATGGTCAAGAAATCCTAGCTGAAAAAAAAAATCCCATGGTAGTACTGACTAATAAGCAAACACATGATTATCAAACCAGTTATCAACCTTTATTATTTTGGGTACTCTTCAGTTTGATTGAACTAACCAGTACTTTTCAGGGACTGTAGACCATTCACTAGATAACTCAGTACCTCATCTCTAAATCAGGGATGGTGCTTTCATTTTGCACAGATAAAAGACTAGGTTAATGTTTGCTAAGTATTTTGTTCAATGATGGGTGCTTGGCCACAGATAGCTATTAATGATTAGCTGTGCTCAGCACTGCCAAGAAGAGGAAGGAGGTCACAAGCTTTCTTAACTTTGTAGACAGATAAGCCCCATTTTGTGAAATACATCTCAAAGCAGCACAGTTTAAGACTAGCTTTTTTTCTTCTGTACTGGAGATTGAACCCAGTTCCTCCCTCATGCTAGGTAAGCACTCTAGCACTGAGTTATTTCCCCAACCCTATTTTATTTTATTTTCATACAAGGTATCACTAAATTTTCCAGCCTGGCCTCAACAGGCCCAGCTAAGAACCATATTCTAGTCCTTATCAATAGACTTGGGTTAAGTGGTCTTGGAGTAAAGATGCAGGGAATTAAGTTTGTGTCAAAGTAAAAAGAACTCTGGGTTTTATAGAAATTAGAGTTCAGAAAGAATTGCTATCCTTGGTAGTACTATCAACTTTCTCTATCTTTGCAAATTTATTTATTTATTTTTTCATGGTTTTCTGTTAGAGAAAAAGGGCCTTAATGACTTAAGTGTTCTACAGTTTAAAATAGCATGCAATTCAGATAGTAAGAAATACTAATCCTTTGTTTCTTCAGGGCTACAACAGACCAAAGGCTTACATAGCTGCCCAAGGGCCACTGAAATCTACAGCTGAAGACTTCTGGAGAATGATATGGGAGCATAATGTAGAAGTGATTGTCATGATAACAAACCTTGTGGAGAAAGGAAGGGTAAGTGGATCATCTATGATGTCATCCCCCAGAGATTTAAATTTGTTTTAACAGATTCAGCATTAGAAAGCAGCAAAAGTTATGAAAGCTAATCAGGATTCCCTCTAACAAGTATGACAGCTAAAGGAAAACTAGCATTATAGGTCAACACTATGAATCAAGCCATCTGCTTCTTTTTAAAATTTTTACTGGTGCACATATTATATAGGATGTTGATTTTCTTTGTGACTTATTTATATATACATAAAAATGTAATTTGATTAATTTAATTCCCAGAATATATATAAAGAATTCAAAAACTCATCAATAAAATAACAAATAGCAAATAAAAAAAAGAGACACGTCTCAAAAGAAGAAATACAAGTGCCTATCTGCTTCTTAAAAGCATTCTTCATGGGCTGGGGATGTGGCTCAAGTGGTAGCGTGCTCACCTGGCATGCGTGCGGCCCAGGTTCGATCCTCAGCACCACATACAAACAAAGATGTTGTGTCCACCGAAAACTAAAAAATAAAATATTTAAAAAATTCTCTCTCTCCCCTCTCTTTATTTATTTATTTTTTTTATTGTTGGTTGTTCAAAACATTAGATAGTTCTTGATATATCATCTTTCACACTTTGCTTCAAGTGGGTTATGAACTCCCATTTTTAGCCCATATACAGATTGCAGAATCACATCAATTACACATCCATTGATTTACATATTGCCATACTAGTGACTGTCGTGTTCTGCTACCTTTCCTATCCTCTACTATCCCCCCTCCCCTCCCCTCCCCTCTTCTCTCTCTACGCCCTCTACTGACCTTCATTTCTCCCCCTTGTATTATTTTTCCCTTTCCCCTCATTTCCTCTTGTATGTTCTTTTGTATAACCCTGAGGGTCTCCTTCCATTTCCATGCAATTTCCCTTTTTCTCCCCTCTCTTTAAAAAAAAAGCATTCTTCATACTGTGATAAATAGTAATGATGACCCATTGAAAAGCAACAAATAGTGAAATCGATTTTAATTCACAGGACCTGAACTTGAGTGAAGGCTCTGTAATAACTCAGTACCTCTAGCCTCACTCTCCTTATATGAAAGGGGTCAATTGGACTAGATCATCTGAACACTCTTTCCTTTCTATGAGTCTTTGCCTGTTCACCTCTACAACTAATTTGCAATCACTTAGAAAGGAAAGACGACATTTAGATGAATAAGAGAACCATTCCTGTTGCTGTCTCCAACCTCTACTTATTTCAGGTGTGACTTTCATGTTGAACATTGGAAATGTAGAAATGTGAAGTAGCATCTTCATTTTTCTCTGTTGCAGAGAAAATGTGACCAGTACTGGCCTACTGAGGGTAGTGAGGAATACGGGAACTTTCTGGTTAATCAGAAGAATGTTCAAGTACTTGCTTATTACACTGTGAGAAATTTTACTCTAAGAAACACAAAGATAAAAAAGGTGAGTCAACAAACGATGGCCAAACCCTTTCAAAAGATGAATGGGTAAAGAAAATGTGGTGTGTATATGTATATAAGAACAATAAATTACTGTTCAGCTTCAAAAAAGAATGGAATCCTGTAATTTGTCACAACTTAGATGAAGTGACATAGCCAGGCACAGAAAAACAAATAATACATGATCTTTCTTATATGTGGAGTCTAAGAAGTCAACTGGGGAGAAGTTGGTCCTAGGACAAGAATTTCAGTTAGTGTTAGTTAATTTCAGTTAGTCACCTTTTCGACACTGTGACCAAAATGCCTGAAAAGAGTAACTTAGGAGAAGAAGGTTTATTTTGGACCATGGTTTCAGGGGTTTACTCCATTACTTAGCAGATTCCATTACTCTGGGCTCAAGGTGAGAAAGAACATCATGGCAGAAGGGCATGGTGGAGGAGCACAACTCCACTGATGTTAGTCAGAAAGCAGAGAGAGAAGAAGGGGTCCACAGGGAAGATGAACCCTTCCAGATCATGCCCCCAGTGACCTCCTCCAGCCATGCCCCACCTGCCTAAAGTTATCACCTAATTAGTTCATTCAAAGTAGGATGGACTGATTAGGTTACAGCTTTCAAAATCCAGTCATTCCCCCTGTGAATGTTCCTATGTTAACACAGGAGCTTTCAGGAGATGCCTGATATCCAAACCATAATAGGAGGAATAAGTTCAAAAGATCTGTTGAATAATATAGTGATTATAAGCAATGACGATGTATTATATACTTAAAAATTACTATAGAAGATTTAAAGTATTCTCACCTAAAAGCATATGTGGTTATGCTATATTAATTAGCTTTTTAGCTATTTCACAATGTATATATAGTTCAGAACATGTTTACATTGTATAACATAAATTAATACAATTTTCATTCATCAATTGCAAATAATTTTAAAAACAAGACAAATGATAGTTACGTCATCAATTATATAAATCATTCAGTTCTTCTTAAATAAATGAGTGATTAACCAAGAAAGGGTTAATACACACACATATACACACACATAAATATATGTGTGTGTATGTGTGTGTGTGTATATATATATATATATATATATATCAAAGTTCTTATCACAGCTACACCTCAATCCCAATGGCTTTTTTCAGGTACCTAAATGTCAGCTCTGGCTTTAAAGCCAGACTGGTTATGGTGCCTATTGTTGTAGGTGATATGATACATAAACCAAAATTCCTGACCCATGTGCCACTTCATAGGATAGCCCTGACAGAATCATAACATCTAGCTAAAAAGAGTGGCAATTGAAATAAGCAAAGAGAAAAAATAATGTATGTTTTGGGATTCTCAAGGGTATCAGGTCCAACAGGATGAATGGGCATACAGATGGATGGATAGACAGATCAATAGATCCCTGAATTTTTTTAAGGATTGACTCAATTGTCTTGGAGACTTACCAATTCTGAAATATGTAGGGAATGTTGGTAGCCTAGAAATTTAAGTAGGAGTTGATGTTGTGATTTAGGATTGAAATTCATCAAGGCAGCAGGCTGAACATTTAGGCACAATTTCTGTATTGCAGTCTTTAGAGAGAATCCCTTCCTCTTCAGAAAACTTGTCTTTGCTCCTTTGGATATGTCCCACCCACATTATGGAGGGTGATATACTATACTCGAGTTTACAGATTGAGATGTTAATCACATCTAAAAAGATACCTTCACAACATCATCTATTTTGATTAGTTTTTGACCCAGCAGCTGACTACCATAGCCTAGCCAAGTGGGCACAGGCAGTTGACTATCAAAAATGGTAGTGCTCTCTTTTTTGCTTCATTATAAACACCAGTGTCAGGCTGTGACTCCTGAATTGATATTTAAGAATTGTGCATGTGTGCATGCATTTCTGTGTGTTTGTTACTGTCATTAACTGTCCAAACTTTTCCAGGGCTCCCAGAAAGGAAGACCCAGTGGGCGCGTGGTCACACAATATCACTACACTCAGTGGCCTGACATGGGGGTACCAGAGTACTCGTTGCCAGTGCTGACCTTCGTGAGAAAGGCAGCCCACGCCAAGCGCCACGCTGTGGGGCCTGTTGTGGTCCACTGCAGGTGAGTCTCCAAAGTGTGCTTCTGAAGTCACAGAATTGCTTATGCCAACAAAAAGGAAATTGATGGTACAGATCACTAGGAAATGCTAATGCTGAGACTTGGAATTTGATTGCTGAGCATTTCAGAACACCATGTATTTTTTAAGATGTTTATTATTTGATTTGATTGCCGGATTGGAATTTATTAACTGTGCGAGGCAGGCAGAATATTTTTGTTGTTAAATATTTCTTATAACACCACAGGATAAAAAATGATTAAGGTGCACCTCCTACTCCTAAGAGTGATTCTGTTGTAGAATTGTCATGCCAGGTTTATATTAAAGAATCCAATGCACTCAGACTGTGAGGAACTTGGCAAAATAACTTGAATATATTGTTCAACAATTTGAGACCAAAATCCCTTTCTCTTTTTACTAAGTTCTTTCTAAAATATCTAACATGAATGTATCATCAATTTATCATTGTCCAAGAATTTCAGTTTCCAAGATTGGGTTGATAAATATCAAGAATAACGTTACAAAGGAAGAGAAAAAAAGATAGATGCTTTCATTTAATATTTCTCAGTTAAAATAACAGCAGGTAATATTCTCAGAATGCTGACTGTACTGAGTTGTTTTTTTTAGATAGAGAGAGAATTTTTTAATATTTATTTTTCAGTTTTCTGTGGACACAACATCTTTATTTTATTTGTATGTGGTGCTGAGGATCGAACCCAGTGCCCCGCACATGCCAGGCGAATGCGTTACTGCTTGAGCCACATCCCCAGCCCCTGAGTTTTATGTCCACAAAAATCAAGCTCATTTCTACACGCAGTAATTTTGCCAAAACCAGTACCTGGGTTTTTGCAGAAGCAAGTGTTTCCTTTGGTATACAGCTTATCTGACACAGTCTAATTACCTATCTCAGAAGCTATTCTCAGACAAAGTTTCTGAGACTGATCTTGAGGATTTTTTTTAATCTCTTTGCCTGAGGATACTCTTAGGAAAACCAGAAAACATAGGAAAAATAGCACTGAAGGTCAGGAATTGTTTCTTAACAAATGGAGAAGGCCCAGGCTATTGTGCAAAGCAGGTGCTAATTTTCCACTCCAGCACTTCCTACGTGTTGGAACATTTGAAAAGAATCCCTGTCTATGAATTCTGTCTCCCCGATAGAGGCTTTGAAGAAGTTGATGGATAATGGCCCTTTAGAAATGACTGGAGTTATGCTTTATCCTCACGATCTCACTGAAATGATATTTCAGCTGAAAGCTCCATCAAATTCTTTTTCCCATGAATGCAGAAACCTTTGTAAACATGTCTGCCTGGCAATACATACCCAAGGACCTTTGCTTTTCAGAATTTAGAAAAGTTAATGCTTTTATTTTTCTCAGATTAAATGCCTGTTTGCTATGCTCTGATATATGCTATTTTCAATGTATAATGTATAATGAATAATAAATAATACTGTTGATTTTTTTAAAAGTCTGACACAGGAATAGGGTGTTTTGCAGTTTTATCTGCAACAACAAATTTCAAAAGCGAACTTTTCAAATTTGTTGATTAAATTACTGTGCTTAACCTTAAAATGTTTACAAGATTAAGTTATTAAATTTATCATGTGGCTTAGTTGCTTGGGGAAAAAAAAAAGTATTCTAATCAATCTGTTTTCAATAATATGTTTTACATTGAAATGTTTCAGTGCTGGTGTTGGAAGAACAGGCACATATATTGTGCTAGACAGTATGTTGCAACAGATTCAGCATGAGGGAACTGTCAACGTATTTGGCTTCTTAAAACACATTCGCTCACAAAGAAATTATTTGGTGCAAACTGAGGTATGGTTTAAAAATATATCTTTATTTGTTTAAGGAATGGAAATGTCATTAAAACATAGATGTGTTCATCTCCTGAGATGGTCATAGTGAACTACACAGATTGGGTGGCTTAAACAATAGAAATGTATTAGCTCACACTTCCAGAGACTTGAAGTCTGGAAACAGGGTGTTGGCAGAGCCATGGTCCTTTAGAATCGTGTGGGAGGATCCCTTCCTGCCTCTTCCAGCTTCTGATGGCCTTGGAACTTTCTTGGTATCACTCCAATCCCTGCCTCAGACTTCACTTGGTATCATCCCTCTGTGTCCAGAGTTCCTTCTTCTCATAATGAAACCAGTCACCATGCTGTTCCAGTCAACCTCATCTTAACTAATTACATCTGCAATAATCCTGTGCACAGTGAAGGCCACATTCTGAGGTACTGGGAATTAGAGCATTGATGTATCTTTTGAGAGACACAGTTCAATCCACATTACCAGGTAACAACAGATATGTTACAGATGGGTCATTTAAATTTTTGTCTGTTTTGTGACCAATTGAAGAATATCTTTAGGATGACACTAGTAACACAAAGGAATCAGTGAAACAATCAATACCCATCCCACTATCAATATCCTCAAATTATTCATACATATATCAAGCTAATTGATTCGTGTTCTGTTTAAAAATCATGAATGACACTCAAGCTTTTTTTTAGTTCCACATAATTTGATCATATATAACACAGGCCAGAGTCTGCATATCTGCATTTTATTCTCACTATTTCTAAATAAAAATAAATTTAAATTGAAACCCACGGATGTGAACTTGAAAAAAAAAATCAGAAAACGAATGTCTAAGTGGGCTTCAAAACCAAACCAGACTCCCCTCAAGGAATGACTTTTGGGTCAGAAAAGACCAGGGAACTTTCATACATAAAATATGAGAGAATTATTAAAACTGTAGACAAAATCCAACTAAATTGTACATGGCAGGCTACAATGAGAGTTGGAGTGGTTAGAAAGGAAAAGGGGAAGTCCATCCAAAGTTTGTGAGTCAGGAAAGCCCTCCAGGAAGTATAGAAATGTCTAGTTCCAAGGAGTCACAGAGGATATTGCTTTGCCTCTCCAAATCTTCCTCCTTTCTTCTCACGAATGAAAATGTATGGTATATAAAAAGGTAGGAACAGAATAGGTCATTTCTTCCTGAGTCACCTCCTCTCCTCTATCTGACTTCTTACCATGTCAATCAGCAATCTCTGTGGGATCTCCCCACTACCACCATTTTGTTAAACACTTTTTGTCTGTCAATGGAGGATACCAGTTTCATACCTAGATACATATGAGAAAATCTGAAGTAATGTTTCTATTGTCATTGTTTTGCCAGGAACAATATGTCTTCATTCATGATACCCTGGTGGAGGCCATACTCAGTAAAGAAACAGAGGTGCCAGATAGTCACATTCACGCCTATGTTAATGCACTCCTCATTCCAGGACCAACCGGCAAAACAAAACTGGAGAAGCAATTCCAGGTGAGTTCCCTGGATGCCTCTTGGTTGTCACCACAGAACTGAATGTCTCCATATCTCTCATTTTACTTGACTAAGGCTATGAGGACAGGTTGAGGGTTTTGTTGGTGCAATAGCTTTGTGTTTGAATCATCTTGTTCTTTACAACAGGTTATAGCACCACACAGTAAATTTCAAGGAGAAACTTAATTCTGAGTGGCAAGAGGAAAAGTTCTCGGAAACCCTAGACTAACTTTTATAAATGCAGACTTGGTCTGGGGAAGGAGGGTATAGAGCCTAACAGAATGAACAGACAGAATTCATAATACAAAGCATATAAGTGCTCTTTTTGACTTGAAGGGGAAAAAAGAAAAAAACAGACCACTTTAACATGAGTGCTGTGGCTCAGGCTGTTCCTGCTGCTCTTTGGAAAAGTCTGTGTCTCACTTCAAACCCTTGGAGTACAGAGCAGGCCACACCAGAACAATAGCTTATTCAACCCCAGTTTCTCCCTCTCCTGACTGGAGGCAGCTCACTAGAGAGAAGTCATGTTTTGTTTGATTCCATCCTCCCAGGACACTAGATCCCTGGCTTTCAGAAATCAGAAGGCAGAGAAGTTGGAAAGCAGGTTATTATCAGACCTGCAGCAGGGAACAGAGGATTTGCAGAATCATAGCTTTTTGGAGTGAAGGTTGTTACTTTGTTCCACGCTATTTCTATACTATCCTCTGACTTCTCAGGATTCCTGGAGAAACAGGGTCAATTTCTGAAGAAAGAGTATATAAGAAGAAATGGGAAGACACTGAAAAAAACCCAGGAGAGTCAACAAATGTTGATATTCTACTTTTTCTTCTCTCTTTTCCCCAGCCAGTAACAAAAAGTGTTAGCCACTATGGACTCCCTCAGGCCCTTTGCCTTCTCATCACTACCTTCTGTGCTCCTGGGGGTGTAAGCGGAAGACTGGGTTGGATGATAAACTTAGAACATCTTGTCAGGAACACAAATGCCTTGCTTAGCCAGAACTGAGTCATAAAGAAATGCTTTTGGGGAAAAAAAAAAAACACAAAACATGCAGTTTGGATTCCTGAAACATATAATATAGAGATGTAAAACATTAAAATTAGATGAAGAGCCATCCTAACAGCCTAATTTTAATTCTGCTGCTTACTTTCAGCAGAATTCTCATTTAAATATGATTTAGCCCTACACAGTTACATAAAATAATTGATATGATTTAAACAGAATAATCCAGTGTGAAAATAAAAAACGTAAGGTCCAAAGAAAATTAGAAATAAAATTTGACTCCCTTTCCTGTTAGCAAGATAAATAGGGAAATATAAGTATGTATGTGTACTGTCCTATAGAAAATATTCATTCAAGTTTATTCATAGAAAAATTTCCTTGAAACAATTCTTATATCTACTTATTTGTTATGAGTATTAAAAATTAAACATAGTTGACTGCTAATTCACTATAGAAGCCCTTACATATATGCACAATAAGAAACATGAAAGAGAGATTCATTGTTACAAAGCTTGAAATAGCTAAACATTGGAAATATCTCAAATGCTCTCAATGGGGACTAGATGAGGAGAATGTAGATTATTTGTGTATCACAGTACTAAATAGCAGTAGAAGCAATAAACAGAATCTAACATATATATGCATGCACACCCACACCTTGTAATTCACCTCCCAACATCTGGTTAGATTTAAGTAAAGGAAACAGAGGGTGCACATTGTAGAGGAAGCAACGAGGAAGATCCTCTTGACTCTGAAATGTGAACTAATGAGGGTTCTCTGCTTCTTCTACCTCCCCTGGTGTAAAGTGCCAGGAAGTTCACTAAAACCAGGTTTAATTCAAGGAATAGTTGGGGAAAAAATCAATCCAGTACATTAAATATCATGTTGTTCAGGTAATGTGTTCATGCATGCTTGCTTATTTGGTGACTTAAATGAAATAACCCCTTACTCAGCTCCTGAGCCAATCGAATATACAACAGAGTGACTATTCTACAGCCCTGAAACAATGCAACAGAGAAAAGAACAGAACTTCTTCTATTATCCCTGGTAAGTTATATTGAATCTGGGAAAATCAATTTTTTCACAATAAAAGTCTTATAACTAATTTGCCAATATTTGTATTCCTTGGGACAAGTGTCATTCACTCTGATTATATGTTAGATCTATTAGTATATTGTTGTAATTTTACCTATTGTGTAACTGTTTTTTAAAAAGACTCACAAAATCTTCCTTTTATCTAAATGCAAAACATATTTTAATGTATAGCTTACGGATCAGACACCCATCGGGGGAAATATATTTTGCACTTGGATGTTGAGGGAAGATGGTATAGTACTGTGAGAATAGTTTTTTATAATGAATGTTCTGTGTTCCAGTGGAGCGATCGAGGGTTGGCATTTCATCCCTGAGTGGGGAAGGCACGGACTACATCAATGCCTCCTACATCATGGTAAGTCAAGGACATCCCTGGGGAAACTGTTAGCAGAATCAGCACCAGAGTGGGTTGACAGCAGGCAGAGGCAGCACCACTAGTAGGCATAAGTCAAGTCAATGACTGCAGGGCACAGGCTGCTGCAGCAAATAGGAGTACCAGTGTTCCACACCTTCGTGTGCTAGGACTGAAGAACCCCAAGCAGCCTAGATGGGGATATTCAGGAACCCAAACTCACAATTCAGGTCTGATAAGTAGACATAAAACTCACACTTGCCCACCTAAGAGGCTCCATTTCATTCAGTTCAGAGCCCATTGGCAGACCCAGGATGCACCTGCTTCAGCAAAGCCCAAGCTTATTGAAATTATCACTCCAGGTTTATAGCACCATTCTAGCCCTGCACACAGGGCTTGTTTGGGGACCTGGATTTCTAAAGATAAAACATTTTCCTTCTGCATTTAGATCCTCTGTGTGAGGGACGGGTGCTTGAGTAGATTTTTTTAGTTAGCTTTTTTGCTGCTGCAATCAAAAGACCTGATAAAAACCATTTTAGAGGAGGAAAGTTTATTTGGGGGCTCATGGTTTCAGAGGTCTCAGTCCATAGATAGTCAGCTCTATTCCTTGGGGATCCACGTGAAGCAGACCTTCATGGCTGAAGAGTGTGGTGGAGGAAAGCAGCTCAGGACATTACATCAGGAAGCAGAGAGAGAAACTCCACTTGCCAGATACAACGTATTTATCCCAGAGGCCCATGTCCCACCACAATGACCTGCCTCCTCTAGACACACCCTACCTGCCTTCACTTACCACTCAGTTAATTCTTATCAGGGGATTAATGTCCTGATTTGGACAAGGCTCTTATAACCCAATTATTTTACCTCTAAACCTTTTGGCATTGTCTCACATATGAGCTTTTGGGGGACATCTCATATCTAAGCCATAGCATAGATGTTGTGTGACCTTCAAACGGAGCTTGGTTTTAGACTAAAGGCCCCTAACTACCATTCCAAACATCTGTTCCATTATCCAGCAAAAATATTATTGAAGAATATCCATGCAGGAAATATTTAGATGTGTGGTGATGGGGGCACCATCAGGAGGGTAGACATGGGATCTGAAAGTACTCAGAGCAGGAGCCAGAAGAGCCCTGATTTTAACAAGTAATAGCATGGAAATTGTGATTAATCTAGGATACCAATTTCCAGGTTTCTGCAGCAAAATCCGATTCATGTTTTATAGAGGCAGCCAGGTTGAGTGGACACGGAAAGTGTCCTATTGTAGGTGTACAATTTGGCATTCTTACACTAGAGTTTGTGGAAAATGAGAATTAGAAATTCTGCTATAGATTATTCTACCTAATGTAGGAAACACGTTCCACATGCCATTTTGGTAAGTCTGCTTCTATAGGTGATAGGTAAACTAGACTACAGCTCTTAAACTTACCGTGACACTTAACTTCTTATGCCTCCATTTAATCATCTATAAAACGGGGATCACAGTTCCTGTCTCATAATATTGTCCTAAAGAGTAAATGTCTTAAGTGGAAGAAAACTGTCTGTACCTAGCGTATAGGAAGTGCCCAGAAAGCATTGGCCATAATAACAACATATGCCAGGTCTCTTTTTACATTTTCTTTGGTTTTGTAGGGTTATTACCAGAGCAATGAATTCATCATCACCCAGCACCCTCTTCTCCATACCATCAAGGATTTCTGGAGAATGATATGGGATCATAATGCCCAGTTGGTGGTTATGATCCCTGATGGTCAAAACATGGTAAGTCCCTTAGTTCATATTTAGTTTTTTCTTTACACATAAAATAATAGTTCACAATAGCCAGAAATCCACACCAACAAGCAAAGTAGTTTTATTTTTAACTAATAGACTAATATCATTGGAATCATACCTTCCCTCTGTTGAACTTGTTTGATTCTACATTCTCCTTTCTGTAAAGACATATTTAAATGAAAGTAGGTAAAATTAATTTCAATGTATGTATGTATTTGTGACACTACTTAAGAAAATCAGAATTGTAGCCATGAATGATGTCAATCTACATTCTTAGGAAATTCAGAGATTCCCTTAATTTAAGGAAGTCTTTAAAAAAATTTTTTTGAAAGATTCAATTGGAATAAAGTGAACTAGTATAGGTAGGGCTTTTTTAGTATCAGAAAATCAAAACACACTCATTCTTATTTTTATGTGTTTAGAGAACTCAGAAACTAAAACTAAATTAATATTTCATTTAGGCTTGCATATATACTTATTCAGCTCTTGTTTATAAAGTTATCAAATGAAGTTAGAAAATTGCTAAGCTCTTAAAATTTACTTAAATCTTCCCAATTCACTTGTCATTAAGATAAGCATCAAGCTTACTATTGACATTGATAAGCTATGGGCACAAAATAACAAAGCAAAAATTGGGGTTCTTGAGTGTAATATTTGATTTCACACATAAATCTGATTTAAAACATTGGAAAGATTTCAATAGTGAATTTTGTGATTCAAAGTAAAATTTGAATTGATTCAACCAATTAACTTTGTTTTACAACCTGAATTTTGAGACTTTATTTTACTAAAATCTAGACTCTTCTTTGGCTTTTACTTTTCCAGGCAGAAGATGAATTTGTTTACTGGCCAAATAAAGATGAGCCTATAAATTGTGACAGCTTTAAGGTCACTCTTATGGCTGAAGAACACAAATGTCTGTCTAATGAGGAAAAACTTGTAATTCAAGACTTTATTCTAGAAGCTACACAGGTATGGACACAAGTTACATGACAAACATTTTCATTTACCTCTGTTTTATAAACATATGCTGACTCAAGGATCTTTCTTAGAAATTAAAAGTCTTCTGATTTCTTATAAACTGAGATAATTTACTCAAATAATCAATATTCCATTTCTGAGAGCTTTCGTTTTCAGAGTCATTACAGAATCAAGCAATTAGTCATTACTAAACTATACACATGTTGACTTTTATACACATAAGAAATCAAAGATCTCTCTTTTACTCCACTCTGTTGCTGAAAGAAATTTTGTTTAAAGTAACACAGTAATAAATTTTATTTGTTCTCATTTTTGTGTTTTAAGACAGACTTTTATCTTGTATTCTCCCAAGTAAAACCGGGAAAATGTTACCCACCCATACTTAACTGTTCTGCCAGCATACAATGAATTGATAAGTGAAAAAAATGCTTTGTAAAAGTTCAATACAATAATCTAGGATTATTTTAATAAACTCTCAGTTATCTAGAAGACACTATTGCTATCAGCAAGATAATATGTTGTTTTAATAAACTGCTTACATGGCATATATCTATTATTGGATTATTTGTCAATAATTACTTACATAGAGTTACAATGGAATACTAAAAGTTGATGAGACTTAGGCATATGAGATTCAGAGTATCATCTCCGGAAAAAAAATCAGTCATTTTCTAAACAGTTTAAATGTTTTGTTTTACTCTAATTCTGAAACTGGTAAACCATATATGCTGTATGAGAAGTTTCCTATTCTCTAAATATATGATGACCAAAACACATATAATTAATGATACAGGTGGATTAATAATGTGAACAGTATATCAGTGGAATAGTATCCTACTTGATTAAAGAAAACAAGAAAAAGAATGTGTTGAGTCTAGGCCAGCTGATATGCAATGGGGCTGTGGGAAAGTGACTTAAATTCTTTGATTGGAAAGTGAAAGGCAGCGACTCTTAATATCCTAAGCTAGTTTCTACCTAGGATTGTACCTTCACCACTTTAGCAAAACCTTCAGGTCTGCCCTCTCTCATGCCTTCCTCCCATTGTTCTCCCCAGTTAGTAAAAAAGCTTATTGCAAGAATAAAAATCATGAGATACCTTTATCTTGCCATTCCCAATTCCTGATCACTGATCATGTCTAATGCCTAACTCAGCCTTAGGAAATCAGCAGCTTTTCTTCTAATATTATGTATGAAATAAACAAGAATACTCATGCATGAATGCCCCAATTTAGCACCCCAATGAACACCTCTCATCTGTAGAAGCCACCTGCTATCCACATCTTGATCACCCAGGAACCTTATCAAAGGATGGACCACATTCTTAAAACAATGATTAAGAGAGAAGGAAAGACTGCGGTGGGTAGTTACATGACCCTCAGACATTTATAAGTGCTATCCACCAAATATCACAGCATTTGAAGTAGGTAGAAAGGCAAAAGTCTACACTGAATAGACCAGGATTTATTTCATGGTGTCCAGAAAACTTGGATTCAACTACTGAACTCAAAAGCTAGAGATGTTATTTGTCATAATGGCTATTTTTCGACGTGTTAGATATTGCATATTTAAAAGAACATTTTAATGTATGCTCAAAGAATAAAAGTGAAACAGCAAATTAACTGTGTGCCCACCACTGAGTTAAAAAGAAAGTGCATGTCCTTGACCTTAGACATTTCTCATAGGCTCTCACTACATTCTATAACCTCCCTTCAGAAGTGGTGTCTTCCTGAATTAGTTTATTGCCCTCTTAATTTCATTTATGCTTTCACTCTTTTTTGTTGTTTTCCTAGCACTATTTTGATTAGTTTATTTTTATTTTTTAGCATTATGTAAGTTATATGTGTTTTTCAGAGATTTGTGACTTTTCCTCATTATAGCATTGCTGACATTTATCCATGTATTGGGGAGTGACTCAAATTCACTTACTTCTGCTCTTAATATTCCAGTTTATAAAATATATTTTTTTCTGTTCTTCATTTGGGCTGTTACTTATCTGTATGGAATTGTTTTTGTTGTGTTTTGGTTTTTGCTATCATAAACAGGTCTATAATGTGTATTTTTACACATATTTTATACAAAATTTTCTTTAGCCTATTCCTGGAAATTCCCTTTTCTGGGTCAATGGATATGAGCATCTTCAACCTGTGTCAGCTTTACTAAGCAGTGGTTCTACCAAGCTTCCCACCTGTCAGGAGTGTATGAGTGATCTGAAATTTCTCCATCCCCACCACTTCTTGTGGTGGGAATGAGATGGCATCTTACAATGGTGTGAGTTTGCATTTTTCTTGTTGCAAATGAAGTTGATTTTCTTTACACAAATTTATTAGCCATTGAGATGACATCTTAATGTGCTGTTCATAATTTTTGCTCATTTTTCTACTAGATTCTTTATTTGTTGAAGGTCTCTTGATATACTGATATTCTGGACACTAATTTTTTTCAGATACATATGTTGCAAATACCTTATCCAAGTTTGTGATTAGATTTTTTTTGTGGGGGGGGTTCATGATCTTTTTTGGTAAGTGAATTTTTAAGTTTAATCTACACAAATTTAATAATCCTTTTCTAAAGAAGCCATAATTTGTGTTTAAAATTCCCCCTTACCTGAAATCCTAAAGATAATCTTCTGCATCATTTTGAAATATTTTATATTTTTACCGGGAATTGATTTTTTACATTACATTTCATGAAATGAAACAAGGTTTTAGTTTCTTTATTTTGCATGTGGTAATTCTTGACCCTGCATCACTTATGGATCAACAATACCCACTCAGTCCTAAATTGAGTTTCTATCTATGTATGGACTTATTTCTAGCATCTTTATTTCATTCCACTGGTCTCTTAGTTCCTCTGCCAAAATGGCAGTGTCTTCATCCAGATAGCACATAATAACTTACAATATCTGATGCGCTAATTCTCCATCTTCTTCTCCTTCCTTGGTAGTATCTTGACTGTCTTGGCACTTTTTCACTTGCCGTACAAAATTTAGGTTCCGGTACTTGTCTTTAAATGAAGCATTTAATTCAATACACTTGAGGAAACCTAGGGCAGGGGCTTAAGGGATTTAGTCAAGTTACACGTCTGTTTAGTCTCTTAAGCAAAAAATAGAACTGGGACTGGAATTGAACCTGTCTCTCTGCCCTCCTCACAAGCCTTTTCCCACTGTCTTGCAGTCTCCTCCTTTCCTTAGGGAAGTCTGTGTATTTCTGGTGTTTGAAGAGGTCTGTGATATTTTCCAAACAAATTTTAGCACTGAAGATTTCTTTTTTAACTTTAAACTGAGCAGCACAGATACCATCTTTGGTACATATTTCCATGGTTCGTCAAGATTGGCATGACATCAATAAAAATAAGCCTATTTTTAATTTTTTAAAAAAAACTGACTAAATCTATACGTAGTAAATGTGGCACCACAATTGTTTCTACCTTCCTAGGTAAGGGATGTGCTTCAGCTGGTGCTGCTTAGTCATGCATGCCATTGAATTTTATTGCCTAAATTATTCCTCATTTTCCCCAGTTATTCCACCATGAATATAATGAACTGCCTATAACCAATATTGCTTTTTTAAAAAAGAAAATATTAATTTGTTCTTTTTTCTCACAGGATGATTATGTACTAGAAGTGAGGCATTTTCAGTGTCCCAAATGGCCAAATCCAGATAGCCCCATTAGTAAAACTTTTGAACTTATAAGTATTATCAAAGAAGAAGCTGCCAACAGGGATGGGCCCATGATTGTTCATGATGAGTAAGTGTCACACTTTCGATTGTTTTGCACCAGAGTTTCCTCTGGGTTTGTGAACACATCTGCTGTCTTCCAGCCAACCTAATGCTTTGGGCTAACTTTGATGATTCAGTCAGGGTAGATTATCTGCTTCTTTTCAGCAAGAGTAACACAGAACACTTCTCTCTTCACTTCAAGCTCCTGTTGAAGGCAGAAGTTGGGTGTACCATCCTAAGAATCTGTTCTTGCATTTTATGCTGAGAACTCTATGTGATGAGGCTGTTTCCACAGTGGAAATTTTACAATAAATACCTAAACGCAGGGATATTTTTCAGCCACCAATTTCCCGAGGCAGGAATAAAATTGATATTCTTTTTATTTACCTGAAAGAGAAATCTTTATTCAATAGATTTTTCTGGGTTTCTGTTACAAATAAGCAAAAATACTAGAACTATATGCAGCATACATATTAGGTAAATATTATAATCTTGGCCAAGTCATTTTTAAAAATTTTTTGCCTATGCCTTTTATAGCATAAAATAACAAATGCACAAGCAAATATTAAATTTGTCTTAAGTATCTCATTGCTGATGTCATGAACATTTGGCAATGTTTCCAATTAAACCATAATTCTATGCACCAAAAAGTAGAGACAAGTCACTGATTTTTTCTGTTTTTACTGCAAAATTTTCAAGGCTGTTTGCTCTGTGAATTCCAAATGTGAGTGTTTTTGTTCCTCTCCTTTCCTCCAAGGCATGGAGGAGTGACAGCAGGAACTTTCTGTGCTCTGACAACCCTTATGCACCAACTAGAAAAGGAAAATTCCGTGGACGTTTACCAGGTAGCCAAGATGATCAATTTGATGAGGCCAGGAGTCTTTGCTGACATTGTAAGTAATGGAGTAGTGAACCAAACTTTTGTTAGAAGGTACTACTGATTTCCTAGAGACTGTGGAAATCTTATTGTGTATAAGAAAGATCATATTGAGTGATAACATTAACATGTGGCTTTCAAGCTGAGTTACAAGGCTGTGTCTTCCAGAAACTTGATGGTTAAAAACTTTTATGTCTTATATTTGTCTTTTTACCAGACTTATTATAATTTTCAAAAATATCTGCATTTGAAGTACCCACAAATGCATTTATACAGCAAAATAAATGGTTATTTTTCTGGAATTCAAGTTCTGTTATCCTCAAAGAACAGTTGATAGACCACAGAGACCTACATGTTGGAACCATTGGCTTTTTTCACAAGCCCAATTCAGTCTCAAATGGGTGAACCTCGGTGCTTTAAAAAAAAAAAATTACTTTAAAAAAAAAATTTCAAGTTTACAAATGGGTGAACCTCGGTGCTTTTAAAAAAAAATATGAAGTATGTGCATTCAAGGAGGAGACATAGCACATCTGATAACCACTCTCAACCAGTAATTTTGAAGTTTTTATTGTTGTGGAAATGGAGTAGAAAGACAATTGACAACTTGGGGCAAATAACATTAAGGGAAAAGTTTAGGTGAGTTAAAAATAATAGGCTGACCTTCAGCTTGTTGGCCATATATGATAAGAACCTTATAACTAGATCACAGCAGAACACGCATACACCTTCTCTCAGAGCAGAGAGTAGGACCAGCTAGGCTAAGAGAGTGTGAAGAGTGCTGGGTAAATAGATCTGGTGGAAAGACTGTGTTCTGCATGGGTTGCTTGGCTGACAGCATATTGCAGTTGAGAACTCCCATAAACAGAATCATTGGATTTCATTGCAACTGCAGAAGAGAGAATAAGCAATTCATTTGTGAAGAAGTTACAGCAGCCTAGTGCCATAGCATTTCCCTACAAGTTGACGGAACTTCATTACATAACTTTCTGTTTGAGGGAAGCAAGTGACTAGGAACAGAGTACTTACCATTGGCAAATGTATGAGGATTGACTTTCTGAGTCAATGAGTGTTCACTAAATGAAAATCTACCTTAATATAATCATAAAGAGACATTAATAAACATTGTGTACCTTTGCTAAGTATAGCAAACCCTAAACAGAATGCCCTACTACAATCAGTGATGGTCTATGTGAAAATAGTCCTTCTTTTTACAAATGTATTTTTCACTGAGCTTCCTGTTTATAACTTCCCTCTCTGTTTTCTAGGAGCAGTATCAGTTTCTCTACAAAGTGGTCCTCAGCCTTGTCAGCACAAGGCAGGAAGAGAATCCGTCCACCTCTCTGGACAGTAATGGCGCAGCTTTGGCTGATGGAAACATAGCTGAGAGCTTAGAGTCTTTAGTTTAACACTAAAGAGTGGGGGAAGCCCACATCTGAGCATTATTTTCCTCTTTCTAAAATTAGGAAAATCAGTCCAGTTCTGTTATTTGTTTACTTCTCCTCACTTGACAGTAACTTTCATGACATAGGATTCTGCTGCCAAATTTACATAATTAACAATGTGTGCCTTTTTAAAAGACTTCTTGTCATTCACTTATTATGTTTGGACTAAAATGGTTAAATTTTACAGTATTTCTAAGAATGGAATTGTTGTATTTTTTTTTTCCATATTGATTTTAACAGAAAATTTCAATTTATAGATATTAGGAATTCCCAACTACAGATAATGTTTGTTTTTAGTGTCAAATTTTTAGCTGTATTTGTAGCAATCATCAGGTTTGCTAGAAATATAACTTTTAATATAGTAGACTGTAAATAAACCACTCTGTTCCCTGTGATATTCAACATTTTACAACTGCAGTATTCACCTAAAGTAGGAATAATCTAATACTTACTGTAAATACTGCTCTAGTGTCTCCACAGACCAAATTTATATTTATAATTGTAGATTTTTATATTTTACTACTCAGTCAGTTTTCTAGTTCAGTGTAATTGTTTAGTTTAATGATGTGTAGTCCATTATCTATTCTTACTCTACAAGTCTCCTGATTTCGTATTGTGCTAAATAATTAACTCTGTTTCAGCATGTAATTTTAACTTTTGTGAAAAATACAAATACATTTGTTTCAAAAGATGTTTTTATGAGAATAACACCTTACCAAACATTGTTTAAATGGTTTTTATCCAAGAAATTGCAAAAATAAATATAAATATTGCCGTCAGTTGGTGTTTATTCTTGGAAATGTTGTCTGAGGTATGTGTGCCAGGACACTGTAGATATGAGAACCAATGGAATGATGGAAGTGAAAATAAGACTGGAGGATGGGACAGGGAATATAGTGCTGTGATCCCCAACTGTGTCTTACAAACTTTTGCACTTTTGAGGACAACCCTTGTTGTTGATCTTGTACTTCCCAGTTTCCAGAACTGTGAGGAGTAATTTGCTGTTGTTTATCAGCCGTCCAGTGAGTGATATTTTGTTAGAACAGCCTGAAAAGATTAGACATGGAATTATGAAAATGTTACTGAAAAACTAGGGGCACTATGTTCCAACAAATGTTGGGAACCTTTGGTTTAGCTCCGAGCTGGGGATTAGAAGCCGGCAGATTTGTCAGAGACTCCAACACAATCAAAGGTCAAGCCAGTCAGGGGGTTGGAAACCAGGGATAGGAGGTTATAAATCCTAAGGTGGAAAAAGATTAAGGGGTCCTATGTCAAGGTAAATCATCATCTAAAAGCTGTGAGGAACTGAATCATTAGTTATAAACAGAATTTGATACTAGAAGCAATCTCCTGCCTCAGCCAGTACTGTCTTACACTATCTTCTAATAAGGAAGACACTGACATCCATGCTCAAGGCTCAGAACAGGAAACCAGAGAAGTTTTGTTTGAACCAAAGTTTCTCAAAGTACAGGTCCCAATCAGCACAAAATTGAATATTCTTCTGTTTCCTGTTGCTATGAGTTACCTGAATCCGGGTAGTTTATAATAAAAAGATGGTTATTTAGCTCACAGTCTTAGAGGCTGAAAATCCAAGATCAGATGGTTCCATCAATTCACCTGCTGGTGAGAGCCCCCTTGGCTATATCACATCATGGATGACATGGAAAGAACATACTTGAGAAGGAGAGGTCACAGGTTGAGATAGGAAGTGAGAATAAGGAGAGGCCACTCATAATTCATTCTCAAGAACTAGCCAGAGTCCCATGAGAACTGCATTAATTCCTTCTAAGGACATTATAACCCAATGGCCTAATTAACTTACACTAAGCCCCACATGACTACACTGGAGACCAAGCTTCCAACATATGGACTGGACGCTTGGAGGAACATACTGAAACCATACTCAAATAACAGTACTTGGGAACTTGTTAGAAATGCATGTCCTGTGTTCCCATCTAAGACATATTGTGTCAGAAACTTTGCTGTGAGGGGTGGGGCAGCAATCTAAAATTGGGGAACAAAACTACTGCTCTATAGCAACAACACCTCTGAGGGCTTCCAGAGATATTGGAATATCAATAAATTTTCACCATGGGACCAAGCTTGAGTGTACACTATTCATCTTAGTGCCTTATATGCCTTTTTCTTAAAATATCTAGAAAGGTTTCTGCTCCTTGCGCCAAACACTGATTCAGCAGTCTGGAGAAGAAATGTCTAAATGCTGCTGGGACTGTCCACTCATTATTTTTAGTATTCTTTCTTTCTTCCACTACTATAGTAGCCTTAGAGCATGGCTCCCTCTTCCCCTTCCCTGACTCATTCTCAAAGCTGCATCTAAATAAATCTTTTAGAAGCACAAAGCTGATTACATCAGCTCCGTATATCATTGACCCTAAAGCAATTTCAACTTCTTTTGACACAATGGTTTCAATAATTGGAGCTAATTCAAATGCCATAAACTGATGTTATTTGCCCACAGTCATGCTATGGGAAAATGTCAACAAGATCTTTCAGAAGCAACAAATGATAGAGAAAATTGCCTTTTTTGCATTAGTACTCAATGCCAAAAAATAACCTCAAATTTTCTTACATACAGGCAAAAACCTATCTTTTTCCCCACTTATCTCCACTTCCACTTTTGCCACCCCAGCATGAATTTTCTTTTTTTTTTTACAGTGTTCTTATTTTCTTTTTTTTTATTGGTTGTTCAAAACATTACAAAACTCTTGACATATCATATTTCATACATTAGATTCAAGTGGGTTATGAACTCCCATTTTTACCCCAAATACAGATTGCAGAATCACATCGGTTACACATCCACATTTTTACATAATGCCATATTAGTAACTGTTGTATTCTGCTACCTTTCCTATCCTCTACTATCCCCCCTCCCCCCTCCCCTCTTCTCTCTCCACCCCATCTACTGTAATTCATTTCTCTCCTTGTTTTTTTTCCCATTCCCTTCATAACCTCTTATATGTAATTTTGTATAACAATGAGGGTCTCCTTCCATATCCATGCAATTTCCCTTTTCTCTACCTTTCCCTCCCACCTCATGTCTCTGTTTAATGTTAATCTTTTCCTCCTGCTCTTCCTCCCTGCTCTGTTCTTAGTTGCTCTCATTATATCAAAGAAGACATTTGGCATTTGTTTTTTAGGGATTGGCTAGCTTCACTTAGCATAATCTGCTCTAATGCCATCAATTTCCCTGCAAATTCTATGATTTTGTCATTTTTTAATGCAGAGTAATACTCCATTGTGTATAAATGCCACATTTTTTTATCCATTCGTCTATTGAAGGGCATCTAGGTTGGTTCCACAGTCTTGCTATTGTGAATTGTGCTGCTATAAACATCGATGTGGCAGTATCCCTGTAGTACGCTCTTTTAAGGTCTTCAGGGAATAGTCCGAGAAGAGCAATAGCTGGGTCAAATGGTGGTTCCATTCCCAGCTTTCCCAGCAATCTCCATACTGCTTTCCAGATTGGCCGCACCAATTTGCAGTCCCACCAGCAATGTTCAAGAGTACCCTTTTCCCCACATCCTCGCCAGCACTTGTTGTTGTTTGACTTCATAATGGCTGCCAATCTTACTGGAGTGAGATGGTATCTTAGGGTGGTTTTGATTTGCATTTCTCTGACTACTAGAGATGGTGAGCATTTTTTCATGTACTTGTTGATTTGTTGTATGTCCTCCTCTGAGAAGTGTCTGTTCAGGTCCTTGGCCCATTTGTTGATTGGGTTATTTGTTATCTTATTGTTTAATTTTTTGAGTTCTTTGTATACTCTGGATATTAGGGCTCTATCTGAAGTGTGAGGAGTAAAGATTTGTTCCCAGGATGTAGGCTCCCTATTTACCTCTCTTATTGTTTCTCTTTCTGAGAAAAAACTTTTTAGTTTAAGTAAGTCCCATTTGTTGATTCTTGTTATTAACTCTTGTGCTATGGGTGTGCTATTAAGGAATTTGGAGCCCGACCCCACAATATGTAGATCAGAGCCAACTTTTTCTTCTATCAGACACAGAGTCTCTGATTTGATATCAGAGACTTGATCCATTTTGAGTTAACTTTTGTGCATGGCGAGAGGAGGAGATTCAGTATCATTTTGTTGCATATGGATTTCCAGTTTTCCCAGCACCATTTGTTGAAGATGCTATCCTTCCTCCATTGCATGCTTTTAGCCCCTTTATCAAATATAAGATAGTTGTAACTTTGTGGATTAGTCTCTGTGTCCTCTGTTCTGTACCATTGGTCCACCCGCCTGTTTTGGTACCAGTACCATGCTGTTTTTGTTACTATTGCTCTGTAGTATAAAGTCTGGTATCGCTATACCGCCTGATTCACACTTCCTGCTTAGAGTTGCTTTTGCTACTCTGGGTCTTTTATTTTTCCATGTGAATTTCATGATTGCTTTCTCTATTTCTACAAGAAATGCCGTTGGGATTTTGATTGGCATTGCATTAAACCTATAGAGAACTTTTGGTAATATCGCCATTTTCATGATGTTAGTTCTGCCTATCCATGAACAGGGTATATTTTTCCATCTTCTAAGATCTTCTTCTATTTCTCTCTTTAGGGTTCTGTAGTTTTCATTGTATAAATCTTTCACCTCTTTTGTTAGGTTGATTCCCAAGTATTTTATTTTTTTTTTTTTGAGGGTATTGTGAATGGGGTGTTTTTCCTCATTTCCTTTTCAGAAGTTTTGTCGCTGATATACAGAAATGCCTTTGATTTATGCATGTTGATTTTATATCCTGCCACTTTATTGAATTCATTTATTAGTTCTAGTAGTTTTTTTGTAGACCCTTTTGGGTCTTCTAGGTATAGAATCATGTCTTCTGCAAATAGTGATAATTTAAGTTCTTCTTTTCCTATTTTGATGCCTTTAATTTCTTTCGTCTGTCTAATTGCTCTGGCCAGTGTTTCGAGAACTATATTGAATAGAAGTGGTGATAGAGGGCATCCCTGTCTTGTTCCAGATTTTAGAGGGAATGCCTTCAATTTTTCTCCATTCAGAATGATGCTAGCCTGAGGCTTAGAATAGATAGCTTTTACAATGTTGAGGTAATTTCCTGTTATCCCTAGTTTTCCTAATGTTTTGAACATAAAGGGATGCTGTACTTTGTCAAATGCTTTTTCTGCATCTATCAAAATGATCATATGGTTCTTATATTTAAGTCTATTGATGTGGTGAATAACATTTATTTATTTCCGTATATTGAACCATCCTTGCATCCCAGGGATGAATCCTACTTGATCATGGTGCACAATTTTTTTGATGTGTTTTTGTATCCAATTTGCCAGAATTTTATTGAGGATTTTTGCATCTAGGTTCATTAGAGATATTGGTCTGTAGTTTTCTTTCTTTGAGGTGTCTTTGTCTGGTTTCAGAATCAGGGTGATGTTGGCCTCATAGAATGAATTTGGAAGAGCTCCCTCTTTTTCTATTTCCTGAAATAACTTGTAAAGTATTGGTATTAATTCTTCTTTAAAGGTTTTGTAAAACTCTGCTGTATATCCATCCGGTCCTGGGCTTTTCTTGGTTGGTAGTCTTTTGATTGCTTCTTTTATTTCATCCATTGATATTGGTCTGTTCAAATTGTGTGTATCCTCCTGACTCAGTCTGGGCAAATCATATGACTTAAGAAATTTATCGATATCTTCACTGTCTTCTATTTTATTGGAATATAGGTTTTCAAAATAATTCCTAATTATCTTCTGTATTTCTGTAGTATCTGTTGTGATGTTGCCTTTTTCATCCCATGTGTTAGTAATTTGA